CAGAACATTCAATGGGATAAAGTACCGTTATTAAGCGCGTGCGCACGCAAAACCTTTCGAAAACGTTCAAATACCACAAATTCTTAACGTTCGAGAACATTCCGTATAATTATTGACGGTTTGTGAGCAAACTGATTTAATGTTTGCAAACTATTTAATGTTTGCAGTGCCTGAATAACACATTAACATAAACACACATCGCTCAAAACATGAAACTTTTGTTTTCAGATTATTTTCTCGTCCTCGAGCAGATGTTGCGAAAATGACAGCGTCACTCACTTTCACTGTTTACAATGACATTAGGTTTATGTGAAATGGTGATTTTCATAGCAATTTTATAATAACAACAAAAGCCCATTAAGATGCTAAGTAACTATCGGATTGCAGCTAATTTTATGTATCAGTCAGCGTAATAGCATGCATAAATGACTGTTAAAGTTTCAATGCATGACAATAATATTAAAAATCAAAATACTTCTCACCAGTAATACTGCCGAGTCTGTGAATCACCTGTGGTGTAGCAGCTCGAGAAATGCGCACACGAGTTCTGTCTGGCAGCAGAAGAGAGCTGTGATGCGTTTTAACACTTCCAGAGAACAGTCCAGAACATGAACCGAGCACTGCAGCCAATCACATCATCGGAACTTTTCCCTGCTGAAGTCAGCCTATAAACGTGCAGAATGTTCTAAAAGAATCGATCCACGGAGTCCCAGAACATTCCAGACTGTTTAAAGAAGTGATGGGAGAAACGATGATTCAGTCCAAACACTGCATGGTATTGACGCCTGCTGGACAGAACGGTGTAATGCAACAAAGCTCAGGCCAAACCTATGGGCCAACATGCGCAAAGGCAGCTTTATTCACTGCATATAAAAAAAATCTAAATTATCCTATTACATGCAATTAAGGAATCATTTATTGGCGTCAAACAAACAAACAAACGTCTGTACAAAGTACTGAAAAAGTACAAAGTACACTGTTTTTTGCAGGGCTGCTTTATTTGTTGAAATGAAAGTTCAGCTAAATAAGCTACTTTTATTACCATTCATTCTAGTCCCAAATCAGAAAAGGTTGGGACAGTATGGAAAACGCAAATAAAAAAAGAAGGTAGGGATTCTACATTTATTTTGACTTGTATTTTATTGCAGCCAATTCAACAAACATTTAATTTGTTTGTCATGGTATTTATAGTTGTTGTTTATTTTTAGTTTAGTTTTGTTTTGTTTTCAAAATAAATACATGTTCCAATTTAGATTATTTTTACATGTTTCAAAAAAGTTGGAACAGTTATGCATTTACCACTATGTAATATTGCCATTCCTTTTCACAACACTTAAAAGATGTTCATAGACTGACATGAAGTGTTGAAGTGTTTCCGGAATAATTTTGTCTCATTTTTCTTGCAAACAAGTCTTAAAGTAGGCAACAGTACGGGATCTTTGTTGTCTCATTTTGCACTTTAAAATGTGCCACACATTCTCTATTGGAGACAGGACAGGACTGCAGGCAGGTCAGTTAAGCACCTGTATCCCCTTCCTCCACAACCAGGACTTTGTAATGTATGCAGAATTTGGTTTTGCAGTGTCTTGTTGAAATATGCATGGGCCTCCTGGAAAAGAAGGCAGCATATTGTGCTCCAACATCTCTATATTTTTCACTATTAATGGTGCCATCACAGAAGTCCAAGTTACCTTTGCCAAGGGCACTGACAGCACCCCATACCATGACGCACCTTGGCTTTTGGACTTTTTGTTGGTAACAGACTGAATGATTCTTTTCTTCTTTGGTCCAGAGCACACATTGTCCATTACTCCCAAAAATACCTGAAATACTGATTCATCTAATCACAGGCACATTTTCATTGTGTGGTGGTTCATCCCAGATTACACCAAGTCCACGGCGCTTCTGGACATGTAAGAAAATAGGTAATGGGACAAACCGACACAAAATCAAATAGATTGTTGTCAGACTTGATGCTTTGTGCAGATGTGCTGTTCTTGTCACAACCAGTTTGTCATTTCTTAATAGGTTTGTTTTTATTTACTGATTTGATGCTAGTTTTTTGATTCTTCAAAGAAGGTTCTGAGAACATGTCAAATACCCCATGGAAACCTTTCAGGTTTGTTCTAAAAACCTTCTGAGAATGCACAGATAACTTCCAAGAACTTTGTGGAAACCTTCTTTCAGGGACATTCTAGGAATTCTTCGAGTTACTTCTGGGAACGTTTTGGGTCTTTCTTGAGAAGCATGGGAATCTTCTGGGTACCTACCGGGAACCTTCTAGGATCATCATGGGTACCTCAAGAGTCTTCTGGGAGCATTCCTGGAATCTTCTAAAAATTTTCAGGATACCGTCCAAGAAGCTTCTAATTGGCAGTTCATTGATCTGTGGTGACCCCTGATAAAATGAAATAGAGTGAAAGAAAGTAAGTGAGATGCAGGTACACTTCTAAAAGTAGAGGGGTTATTCTGCACTGCAGTATGGACAAATAGCCACAAGGCGGCATAGTCACAAAAAACCCTGTCGGTCAGAGACAAAAGACCTATGTCACAGTAGTCTATTTGTATAGCGCGCATGTTAGCAAGACAAAGAATCCACATAGATTGAACAGTACATTACTGACAATACAACAAGGCATTCTATTAAAAGATGCAGACATTGTACATAGAGGGTGTGATGAGCATTACTTAAACAGAAAGCACAGCAGAAATGGACACACCCGAGTTCACCAGACAAAGCAGAGCGGTTGATCATTTCAAATCCTCTGGGATGTGATATTTTGAACAAAAGACAGTAAATAAGAAAACAGAGGAATATTATTGTATGGTTTTAGGCACAATGGATTTTGTTCCTGACCTGGAAAAAGCTAAAGGTTTGTAAAGCTAGCATGACCTGTCATTAAAATAAAAGTTGGATCCCAGATGAAAAAGTTGAAAAGTTGGTTAACCAGAACTTTGAAAAATCACTTTGTAGTTTGGAGTAATTTATTTTTTCATGATGAAATAGCCCTTAAAGTACTGGTATTGTAAAAGCCTTTTAAAAGTTGCATGAAACAACCAACAGTAATTAAAATAACATACTGTTATTATTATTATTATTATTATTATTATTATTATTATTATTATTATTATTATTATTATTATTATTGTTGTTGTTGTTGTTGTTGTTAATAATAATATATGTCTATGTGTCTGTTTCTTTTATATTACTAATTATCTGGAAAAGCCACATCTCTTAATGGTGAATATTTTAAAATGTTAATGTTAATTGATTATTTTATTGAAAATAATCAATACTATACATTTTTTCAAAACAAACTAGATCAATAAAACAATACAATAACAAAATACAATAATTAGATTAAATCAAACCAAATTAAGATGGCAAAAATGAGAACAAAAAAAGATTATTGACGCACCTTTTACAAGAAAACTTTGGCCTTTCTGCTTCAAACTTTTAATAATTTATTCTTACTTGTGATTTATTTTTATTTTATTTCATAATTGTCCTGTTTATTAGCAGTTTCTAAGTGAAAATTGCTTTTAAAAAATTCAGAGTACTATTGTAAATATCACTGATCTGTCTCTGGCTTACAAGAGGAATTGCCTTTTTTAGTCTACATATTTAACATAAACATTGTAACCATGCTTGTTTTCCTCAAGGTGTGGCTGATGAGGGAACAGAGGGTTCCTTTTAGTTAAAATAAGTGTTCAACTCCAAGTGCGTTAGTGCCAGTATTCATAAAGAGAAATTCGATCTCTAAAATCCCTTATGTGACCTGACCAACACCTTTCATTAACACCGCATGGCGACAAAGTGACTGCACCTGTTGAATATTACATACAGTATAATTAAACAAATACTGAATATTATAGTCAAATCTCTTATATAATATTTTATTCAATGCACAATTCAACAAAAACAAAATAAAAAAATAAAAGAAATACATTTTTAAAAATCTGTCATCATCGTTCACCAGCAACTTACTGTAAAATCAATTACAGGAAAAATATACTGTATTTACATTTACGGCACCATTTATCTTGCTGTATATGTATTTACAGAGTTGTATGTACATATTTAATGTAAAATATAGAGTAATTTTTACAATTCAACTTTAGTTAGTATCATACCGCATAACTGTTCTACAGTAAAATACAGAGCTCATATTACAGTTAAATACTGTTTAATTTACAAAAATCGTTAAAAGCGTATTCACACTTGTGACTTTTTATATGGATTTTTTGGAAGCTAAATGAGCCAATTTTGAAAAAAGTCTGTAACTAGAATCTTTTGGGGACTTTTGACTTCAAATAAATAAATAAATAAATAAGTCATTTCTCAGAAAACTTTCACAAATTTAACTTCCACCAAATAAATGAATTTTATAAATGTATAAACTTTAGTCACACTTTACAAAAAGTTTATATTAGTTAATGTAAGATTACTAACAATAACCAATAATGAACAATCCTTGAACAGCATCTATTAATCCTAGTTTAACAATAAGCATTATTAAAATCTAAATTCATGCTTGTTAACACTGTAAGTTAACATACTAACAACAAACAACTTTATTTCTATTAACTAACACTGAGAACGATTCATAAATACTGTAATAAACATATTGTTTATTAACTAACACTAACTAAATACTTTAACTATACAACCTTATTATAAAGTGTGACCAATTTTTTAAATTTATGTTTAACAGCATTAGGAGATGTTTACTTGACAACGGTAAGGACAACATTACTTCCCTTTAAGTAATGGCTTCAAAATGTGTGTTTATGAGCTGTTGTATGATTTTGGGCTGCTCACCTGAATAGAGAGGATTGAAATCTTAAGACTGCGATGATGGAGACCTGACATACTTTAATATCCATGTGCCAGTTTCACTTGTTGTTCTAGGAACTAGGGCCTATTCAATCAGCAATATTGACAACAAAAATGTTTTGTAAACTTAGTTACCGGATCTGAATCCTTATCAGTGGAAAGATCGCCGGAGGGGTTCATGTTGCGCTCCTCTTTGTCATCTTTTCTCTCACACCCTAAACCTCTGTATAAAAACCCAATCTGTCAAATCTGTAAGATAGAAGAAGCTTATCATCCAGACTTTGTGGATTCAACAGGTAATGTATGCTTTATTTACTCAAATGAAGAGAGTTGTGATTTGCTGCTTTGCAATATTCTGACACATATAGTCTTTAGAACTTCAGAAGAAAAAGTTCCTTTCCTCACTGGTTTGTGTGACGGTTTTTGTCTTCTTCTGCAGATCACGTCATGATGATCAGGCTAGTGCAGCTTTTGTGTCTTTCTGGTCTGCTTCTACATTGTGAAGCTCAGGGTTTCCAATCATGCCTGGCTGACCCCACATTCAGACTAGCAGGTCAGTGGAGATGCTTCACATCATTTTAATAAAATCACTGGTCGGTGTAGGGCAAAAATGTATATATGCACTCCAAAATTATGTTTGTTGTTTGTTCAAACTACTTATTTAAAACAAGTTGAAACAACACAATTCTTGATTTTCATGGGGGACAACTTCATTGTTTTATGTATAATCCACTTATATTTGTAAAAAAGTTAGTAAGTTAACTTAATTCCTTCATGTTGTCTCAACACATTGTATTGAACCCAGCATTTATACAGTGTATGAACTTAAAATGCCATTTGCTGTTTTTTAAAACTATTTATTTCAAATGAGCTGAATCAACACATATCTTGCTTTTTTAACTTAATTGTTTTAGTACAATCCACTTATATTTGTATAAACAAATAAGTTAATATAATTCCTTCATATTTTCCCAACACAAAAAGATGGTGTAGAACCCAGCATTTGTTACAGTGTGGCATAAACAACAATATGAACAGATATGGGCCGCAAGTTTTTCTTATCCATAAAACTGAAAGGAGTCCTAATTGTATACTAAATGTACACTTTTCAAAATCCTCTTAATTTTTTTGGAAACGGTCGAATGCTGAACCTTGTAATTCTAAACAAACTCTAGAACCTTGACATCAATTGAAGCAATAATAAAAGTTTACTTGTATTAGACTATCAACATGCATGATAGAGATAATCTAATGCTTTCCGGGGCCTTTTTAATGTTTAAGACAGTAGACAACAAAAGGGTCGATTTTGGGAAATTGAGATTTACATCACATGAAAGCGGGAAAATAAGCTTACGTTTGATGTATGTTTGTTGTGATTGGATAATATTTAGCAGATATACGAGTGTTTGAATATCTGAAATCTGAGGGTTCCGAACAATCTAAATATTTTAATAACAAATATAATATAGAAATAGAAAATCGTCTTTAAAGCTGTGCAAATTAAGTTCTTAGTAATTTTTGATAAAAAAAATAAGTTATCATGTAGAAATGTATGTTTTTAATTAATAGAAGATGATCTTTACTTAATATTAAAAAGAAAATCTATCATATGTATTAAAATAAAATATATATTAATATAAAAGTGTATCATTTTTTGAGTTTTCGTTCTTTTTGAAAACTTTTTTTAATAAAACATATCTTATAATTACAGATTTGCTTCTCTGGTACCCATTTTAACGATATATTTTTATATTCTTACTACACTGTAAAAATATATATGATTAAAAAGTCTTGAAGACAATCGTTTGATACTTTGGGTTTCAACAACATTTGTTATACAAAGTTAATATTTTTAGCCAGTTCGACTGATGTAAATTTAGATGACTAGAGAAGTTAAATTGATTCAAGTATAACACTTTTTTTCTAGTGTTGAAAACTAAACACAACAATAACAATAACAAAGGTTTTCACAGACAATGAATCCAGAACTATGCATATTTACATAGTAATAGAATATTTTTATATCTTTCAGATAACTCGGATATTTCTGTGACCTGTGGAACCAATCAGATGTTTTTAAGAATCCTCCTGTGTCCGATGTATTTTGGTGGATATAATGAATCTCTAATGGCACTCAATGCCAGGTTTGGCATCCCCGACTGTCGTGGAGTAGCAGACTGGTCTTCCAGTCCTCCTGTCTTGATGTTTAACTTCTCTATCTCCCAGGAGGCTCTTCTTCTTTGTGGCAACACAATAAACGTAAGAACTTTTTTACATTATAACAATCAACCTTTAAACATTTAATCTAAGCTTTTAAAAAAAGCTGTTATTGAACTCAATTTCAAAAGGTCATTGGTAAGTGTCATGCAGGGAATTCTGGTAAAGCTAATTTACTGTTATTCTTTGTATATTTTAAAGGTCCCGTGCTTTGATATGTGCAGTTTTTATTCGAGGATTGATAATCTCAGTCTGAAACATGAAGACAGGGCGGGGCATATATTAGCTCTTCCCATTTTAAAAAACAACCAATTGCGTTTTCTCTTGTGATTAAGCTCAAGTGCATCAAATGGCAATGAGCAATGTCTTGAAGTGGGCGGGACATGTCAGATACTAGAGAGCAATTGATTGGTCAGAGGATTTGATGAAGGATGAGGTGACGTCAAAAAATCGTTGATTCATATAGGTCCAAATGACAAAATAACCTTTGGATGTTTATAACTTCTAAATGTTAATTTTGTCAGTGTTGTCAGACTAAAATACTGAAACTAACATTAAAAAACTTTTTCTCAGGTTACAAAATTTTACTGTACCAATGAAATCACAGTATCTTTCAAAAAGTTCCAGTGACAGCTTTTGTATATATTCTTAGATTGTACAGATTTCCAAAATGTGTGTGTTGCTTCTTTGTTGCTCAGATTACAAGCCAAGTGGGCTCAGGAGTATTTTCAGACTTCTCCCAAATCCAGTCGGTTAACATCTCTGGATTAATTAACGCCTGGGATCCATCCATCAGCGCCATTACTTACAGACAACAACTAACCTACCAGTTCTCCTGCGTATATCCACTGCAGTATTTAGTCAACAACACTGAGGTCAAAGTGTGAGTATCATTCACAACCTTCTGTTTCTGTCCTCTGGAGTTTTCTGATGAAACTTTGATGACTTTGATGTTTCATCTTCAAATCGACAGGTCAGGGGTGAGTCTGGCAGTGAAGGACAACAATGGTACTTTCGTCAGTACTCTGAGCATGACTCTTTTCACTGTAAGGATATTTCTCATAAAATTGCACTTATTGAGTTGGTAAATGCAACTTTCTTGACATCCACCTCACATTTTGATTTTTTTTAGACTGCTAATTATACCACCAAACTCACGATACCTCAAACAGGACTGCAGCTGAAAACTCGCATATATGTGCAGGTCAAGGCAACAAATCTCACAAACAAGTAAGACTGCAACTGTTCTGTGTTCATTTAGTAAGTTATAGTTTAAGAATATATACATCATTTACAACATAAATAACATAATTTCACTCACTTACTCACTTTACTTCGACTTAGTCCCTGATTTATTAGAGGTCGGCACAGCGGAAGGAACCACCAATAACTCGGGCATGTGTTTTACATGGCGAATGCTCTTCCAGCCGCAAGCATAGATTTAACAATTTTATGATGTGTAACATCTTTTTGTTTTATTTATGATTGTTTAGTATACATGCACTAGAAAATACTGTGAAAAAAAGTTTCTTGCTCTGTTAAACATCACTTGTAAATGTTAGGGGGGCTTATAGGTTTCCCTTCAACTGTATATTTACTTGTTTTAGCTTGTTGTCAGGGTCCCAAACTCTTCATCTACTTTAGTATTTGTTATTTAAATTTATTTAAAATTTATTAAAATTGACTTTTTTTATTAAGACATAGGCTGCATCTGAAATCGCATACTTCCATACTATATAATACAATAAAATCAGTATTGGTTTATAACATACAATAAAATAAATAGCAAAAAATAAGAATAGTAAAAATATTCAAATAAAATAGTACTGATTAATAACTTGAACTGTATCTCAACTTTCAATCAAATCTAACCTAATATCTTGTGTATTTTAAGGTTCAATGTGATGCTGGACCGCTGCTATGCCACAACAAGCCCATATCCAACCAGCAGCAGCTCATATGATCTATTTCTTGGGTGAGTCATTGACAAAAAAAAGCTAAATAAAAGAGAGCAATTAAGAAGACACTTTAATTCTCAAGTGAGAACGACGTCTATTGTTGTTCCAAGGTGTACCCGTGACCCTCAGACAAAGGTCGACATGAATGGGATTGCACAGGAAGCTCACTTCTCCTTTGAGGCTTTTCGTTTTGTGGAGCATAAGAACTTGACCATCTCCACTTTCTACCTGCACTGTGCCACCCGACTCTGTGAGAACTCCACTTGCGCCTCTCTGTTGCCGGTAACTAGCGCCGATTTAATTTTTTTCATTGGTTTCTTTTTAATTTGATTGTCTTTGTTTGACTCAGGTGTTTAAGGTTTGTTTCTAAAAAAAATTCAATCTGTGTTGGCATCAGTGATTACATGAAGAAGCTTTAATACTTACAGAACTTTTTCATTCCACAAAAGGTTATTTATAATAGAAAAAGGTTATTTTGATAATGAAGTTATTTACACTACGAAAAAAAAGAAACTTTTTACCAAAAGATTCTTTGGGGAAAAAGAAAATGATCTTCTAACATTATGTATTCAGTATTCAATAACAAACTATTTTATTCAACGTGACTTACAAATTAGGACAAGAGCACTTCAAATCATCAGAGAGCAGCAATTTATAGCTGCTAAAAAAGTACACATACATATATATATATATATATATATATATATATATATATATATATATATATATATATATATATATATATATATATATATATATATATATATATATATATATATATAAATAGGCACACAGAGAGAATAGAGGACAGGAGGCTTGTCAGGCACACTCAACTGCGTGAAGTGCGCTCAAAATAGCCCAATATACAGTATATGAGTGTTAATAAGAAAGTGTCTGGTGCATATGGAAAGGAAAACAGTGTCTCCTACATTACTGTTATATATATATATATATATATAAATATATATATATATATATATGTGTGTGTGTGTGTGTGTGTGTGTGTGTGTGTGTGTGTGTGTGTGTGTGTGTGTGTGTGTGTGTGTGTGTGTGTGTGTATATATATATATATATATATATATATATATATATATATATATATATTTTACATTAATGAACTTTATTTTTAAGAGTGTTGAATGTGGATTTCATGAGACCTTATTTTTGTGTGTGTTTTGTAGAAATGTGCGAGGAAAAGAAACGTACGATCCATAGATTACAATGCTAGTGATGTGGCCACAGTTTCTTCAGGACCAATCAGGACCAGAGTTGACAACGGTACCAAAATCATCCCATATTTACTTATTTTATTATTACTTATTTTATTTTACTTATTTTATATATATTTATATATATATATATATATATATATATATATATATATATATATATATAGAGAGAGAGAGAGAGAGAGAGAGAGAGAGAGAGAGAGAGAGAGAGAGAGAGAAAGAGAGAGAGAGAGAGAGATACCATATATATATATATATATCTATATATAGAGAGAGAGCACTTGGAAATTCTCAGTTTTTTTGGATTTCTTGGATTATTAAGGTATGGGTTTGGGTAAAATCAAAGGTTACTCAAAGATATCTACAGAAAATTGATTTATTACATTTCAATTTAAAGTTATATAATTGGCACCATTTATGTCATTTTATGCAAAACAAATGCTTTAAATGCCAATGCTTTTATTGTAAATTAGGATCAGTAGTTGATAAAATAAAACAAAAATAATATTTTAATCATAAATCCAGATAAAATTATAATTTTAAGTGATGTAATAAAATAAAACCGGACACATTTAAATGTTACACAAACATGTAATCTGTTTCATGCTTTTACTGTTTTAAGTATTAAAATACTTTTTTCATCTTGAAAGTAGTTACATAAAAAGAACTAAAAGCTAATAAGAAAAATCTCTTCCATGTCTTCCTCAGGTGGCCTTGCGAGTAGACGTAAGAATTGTCTTTACAAACACCTCATTTTAATATATAATATTATTATTTATTGACAAATATATTATACTAACATGAATTAATTCCTTGTGTATTTGCAGTGACCTCATCCTCTTCGATCCCTCAGCTGACGTATGCTGGTGCTGCCACTGGTTTGCTGAGTGTCCTTCTACTCAACTGGCTGTCTGGATCAGGACCTGCATGGTGATCTACAGTACATCAAGATTTGGGAATTTGTTGTCATTTAATGGAATATTGCCTTGGAAAATCTCTCATGCCTTACGGGAATGTGAGACAACAGGCTATATGTATCAGTTATCAGCATCTGTATTTTACAACTTATTGTAGGAATCTAGTCTAATGTAATTTACTGTAATTAGACTTTTTTGTAATTGTGTTGAATTTTTTGGTTGTTTTTATTAAAGTCTATTGAGCATGCAGTGCTGCTCTTGGGGTACGTTTATGCACTAAGTATGTAACAGTTTAACATTTCAACTTAATAGCCTTTGGTATTTTCTCTCATTCAGTTAATATAGATTTCGTAATATATCATTTATAAGCAGCTACATGTAATGCAAATAAAATAAACCTCTGTACAGGATTAATGCAATAAAAATGAATGCAAAAAAAATGTTCAAAGTCTTTATTAGACTCTGCTGTATTCTAATTTTACTCGGCATTTTGAATATCAAAGTCAGTAAATCACATATTTTAAATCATAGTGTCCTTTTAATTACCTTATCTGTCCGATCTGTCTGTCAGATCTTGAGCAAACATTTCCTCACTTGTAAGTCGCTTTGGATAAAAGCGTATGTTAATAATCAAATGGAAATTAAGGATCAGGTGCTTTCTTAACTGAGGGTTTCTCACTAGCCTTTTTAATTCTATTCCTGTAGTCCTACCTACCGGCAAGTTGCTGTTCACTAAACGGCCAGCGGAGTCGCTAAAAAGGGTGTGTAAATTGTACATAAAGTCCTCAGTGGTTATGGACTATTATTATTATTTCTACTTCACTCAACAATAGTTGTTTTGTTATAGTTTCGACTGTCTTACGAAAATCAATCAGGAATTCATACTGTAGCCCAAACTATGGAAATGGGTGACTGGCAAAATGAAATGAGTGTATACTGATATCCAAACTGAGATAAAATAGAAGAACAGAACAGAAAGATAAAACGGAATCCATTTATAAAATTAAATCTAAGAAAATATTTTGTGTGTGCTTACAAGAAAGCAAAAAGAACTAAGGTATGGACTCATTAGGCTTCCGTACTAAACACCTGCGAGTCGCAACAGAAAATCACGCAGGTGTGTGAAGATGCAAGAAAACTAGTTTCTGAAGGAGACGTATAGATACAGTGACGATTCAGGTAGGAGGATGTTTTACGGTATTTGCCCATTCAATGAGAACGAGCGATGCATGAATTGTTTAAGACTTAAATTAGACCATATTAAATCCATTTGTGTCCGTAACCTTTGATGAGACGCATGAGGCAAATGAATTCTAAATGTCCTAACAATGTGTTTCCGAAGCTCTTGTTAACATCATATATAATAACTATTATATTATTAAGTATTGAGAGTAACATTATTTTAAAAATATAATTTTTCATGGTTACATAAATTTCTGACTGACATTAAATTTGCTGTTAATATCACATAAGTTGCTTTTATTCAAACCTTTATTGTTTTCATTTCTTTATTGTTAATGTTGAGTTTCCTCCTAAAATTTCCTCATTGGATGATACTGAGATTGATTATGTTTACTGCTACAAATATCTTGGAATGTGGAGATGGTAAACTGTCATTTGAAACTCACATAAGTGAATTGATCAAAGAGGTTAAAGCCTGTATTGGTTTTCTTAACAGAAACAAATCTTCTCTTACGCAATCTTCAAAGCAGCATTTGGTCAAATTTACAGAATTTTGCATTATGGGGATTTAATTTTTTGATTAGCTTCAAACTCTCTTTTACAAACTGGATGTGATTTATCTTGTAGCAATTCGTTTTGTTACTGGTGCGCTGTTTAATACTCATCACTGTCAATTGTATTCTTTCTTGAATTGGCCTTCTCTTCAATCACGTCGACTAATTCATTGGTTTCTGTTTATTTACAGAACTCTTATTGGGAAAACTCCACTATATTTATTGTCACTTCTTAACATTCAGAAAACATGTCCAAATATGCGCTCTAGTAGTTTTATTAACCTTTGCATACCCCAAGTTCGCACTTCATTTGTTCGCTACTCTTTATTTTTGGAAGCATCTGCAGCAGACCTTAAAGCTCAACACTTTTATTCCACTATCATCCTTTAAAAATTCAATCCAATTAATATTACAAAATGACTGTGCTTGTTCTTAGTTTTCCTTGGTTTTGTATGTTATTATCTGCATCTGTGTAATTGTTTTATGTTGCCTCTTGGCGAGGTTGTCATTGTAAATGAGAACTGGTTCTCAATCGACTTACCTGGTTAAAAAAGGTTATTCAGGTTTATAAGTGTTTCTATTTCTAAAGGATATATTTATTAAAAAATAATCAAAATTTCTTTTGTAAAAATGTATGATTTGTGCACGCCCCTAAGTTTGACTTATTAATACCCATCACAATCATTTGTTTTATGTATAAATTATGTACTTTTGCTTTAAATCACATTACAAAAAACAAGTGACATCATATAGGCCCTGCAAAGCCCAAGAATAAAAGGAGGAAAGTTCCAAAATCTTTTTTACATTTTTGTTGCAAAGGTACAGTTGAAGTCAGAATTATTAGCTCACCTTTGATTTTTTTTTTCTTTTTTCCCAATATTTCCCAAATGATGTTTAACAGAGCAAGAACATTTTCACAGTATGTTTGATAATATTTTTTCTTCTGGAGAAAGTCATCTTTGTTTTATTTCGGGTAGAATAGAAGCAGTTTTTACATTTAAAAAAAAAAAACATTTTAAGGACAAAATTATAAGCCCCTTTAAGCTATTTTTTTTCAATTGTTTACAGAACAAACCATCGTTGTAAAATAACTTTCCTAATTACCCTATCCTGCCTAGTTAACCCAATTAACCTAGTTAAGCCTTTAAATGTCACTTTAAGCTGTATATAAGTGTCTTGAAAAATATCTAGTCAAATATTATTTACTGTCATTATGGCAAAGATAAAATAAATCAGTTATTAGAAATGAATTATCAAAACTATTGTGTTTAGAAATGTGTTGAAAAAAAATCTTCTGTCTGTTAAACAGAAATTGAGGGGAAAAAGTAAACAGGGGGGCTGATAATACAGGGGGGCTAATAATTCTGACTTCAACTGTATATCAAGCTCATGTGAAATAGATAGGGTATAACATTGAAGAGCAAATTTCAGATTGAATGAATGATTGCTAAGTGTGGAACTTAAACAATTGGTGTATTTTACATTTTGGCTAATAAATGTACATTTCTGGCCTGAACCCATCCAGGCTAAATCCGTTTATTCATTCATCAATTTCCCTTTGGCTTAGTCCCTTATTTATTAGGGGCCGCCATAGTGGAATGAACTGGCAGCTATTCCAGCATATGTTTTAAATAGTGGATGCCCTTCCAGCTGCAACCCAGTCCTAGGAATCACTCATACACTCTTCCGTTCACACATGACTACACTACGGCCAATTTTGTTCATCCAATTCACCTATACTGCATGTCTTTGGACTGTGAGGGAAACCAGAGCACCTGGAAAAAACCCACGCAAACACGGGGGGAACATATAAACTTCACACAAAAATGCCAACTGGTTCAGCCAGGACTCAAACCAGCGACCTTCTTGCTGTGAGGTGACAGTGCTAACCACTGAGCCACCATGCCACTGCTTAAACCCATTTAGTCACAAATAGCCCCACATTAAAAAAATACTACAGTAATTTATTGTAAATACTTGATTTTTTTTTAACCATACTGTAGTCATGTGTATTATATGCCTACTCTACAGTATTTACAACTATTTGTTGATGAACGCTACTGTTGTATTAACTATAAGGATCTTCATTCATTCATTTTCTTTTCGGCTTAGTCCCTTTATTAATCAGGGGTCGCCACAGTGCAATGAACCACCAACTATTCCAGCATATGTTTTACGCAGTGGATGCCCTTCCAGCTGCAACTCGTCACTGGGAAATACCCATACACTCTCATTTATACACATACACTACGGACAATTTCGCTTTTAGCCACCTAGAGGAAAACTTCGCGAACATGGAGAGAAATTGCAAACTTCACACAGAAATGCCAACTGACCCAGCTGAGACACGAACCAGCAACCTTTTTGCTGTGAGGCGAAGGCACTACCCACTGCGCCACTATAGGGACCTTATTAATACTTTATTGTACTTTAGTTTACTAAAGTTAACTGTGACATTGTAGCGTAATATTTCTAGTTAATAGTTATAACAGTTATAGAAAACTTGGTACTGTATTGTCAGTTGTTTATTTTATTTATTGTATATTACCACAGAGACTACACATTTACCAAAACAAAAAAGATCAAGTAATTTACTATTATTCTTTCATGTGGGGCACATTTGTCAAATAGAATTCATATAACGCTTTTGTAAGTAGTCATATAATCATGATAATATATTATTAATGAATATTTTTTATATCTATTTTACAAATGACACTGAACCTATCACACTTGCACTCTTTTCGTAAAAATAAAATTCAATCAGTCGTTTAAAAAAAAGCCCATACATTTAAATATGAACAAAACCTGGACTGGTTCTCTTTTTTAGGATCTAACATTATTATAATCTGAACTGTGTACATACTGTTTTGAATCCAATTGACACATTTTGACTTTGTCTCGAAAACAATGAATGTGGGTCAAGAGGGCAGACATACGGATGCCACTATTGTGTATATTGTTTGACGCAAAATCTGTGTATAAAATCTGTCTTTTTCTCCCAAGCGTACTTACATTGTGCTTACTGAAAGACTATATAGGGAACTTGTTGCTGTTCATCTAGTCTTTTGAGACTAAAAAAAATATTTTGCCGGCTACACTGTATGAACATGATCAGATAGCTCTGTTTTTCTTTGTTCAGTGAACATGACCCTGCCTCACCTCAACCTCCTCCAGAGCCTCGTCTGTCTCTTTGCACCACATTTCAACTGAAGTGCATTGTATCGTATACATGGTCAGAACACTTTTTTGACATTCGCCATTTGTACGAATCCAGGTGGGGTTCACAATTTATTTTCTCCAAATTTATTTAATGCTTTCTTGTTAACATGATTTCATTTCCTGATTATAATGAGGATGTTTTCATTTTTGTTTTTCCCTAAAAGAATGTAAGTGACAACATGTCTCATGGTTAGGGCACATTGTAAGGTTATCGTATGACAGATCAAAATGTTATCCTAGTAATAGTAGTGGTTAGCACTGTTGCAAGAAGGTCACTGGTTTGAGACTCGGCTTGGCCAATTGTCATTTCTGTGTGGAGTTTGCATGTTCTCCTCGTGTTTGCGTGGGTTTCCTCCAAGTGCTCCAGTTTCCCCCGGTCCAAAGACATGCAGTATATGTGAATTAGATGGACTAAATTGACCGCAGTGTAGGTGTGTGTGTGAGTGCGAGGGTGTATGGGTGTTTCCCTGTACTGGGTTGCGGCTGGATGGGCATCTGCTGCATAAAACGTATGCTGGAATAGTTGGTGGTTCATTCCACTGTGGCAACCCCTGATGAAATGGGACTAGGCTAAAGCAAAATGAATGAATGAATAAGTGAATAATTGTGGAGCTTGACGATAAACATATTGCAAACACGACCTCGTGCCTGTGACATTCCTGTTAGCAATGCTACACAGTTCAAAACAACATGGTCAAACAGATGAAGGCATCCATTTAAACATTCAGAAAACAATATGGGGTTAAGTAGAAGAAGAAACTCAATCAGATATTCAGAACTGTACATTAGGAAAGCATTAAAAAATGAAATGCTAAATAATCCTGTAAACATACTCGTACAGCCAGCCCAGATCAAATCTAAACCGGATGTGGCCCACAGCTGCGGGCTCTGCGAGAGTAGTCCACAGTAGTGAACAGCCCACACTAATCCCATGAAGGCCTGGTGTAGGCTATCCCATTCGGGTGCAGACGGGCAGCGAGCACAAGACCTCACCTAGCCCCCAGGAAGCCCTTACTAGACACACTGACCCTGGACAGGCAGGCACTGCATTTTTTTTTTTTTTTTTCCTGCTGGAGATACTGTTGTCCTAAAAAACAAAAACAAAAACAAAAAAAATCTTACATCGTTAGGAACGGCATTACAGAAATTTTTGGCGCTTTTAAAACCTTGACTTTTCCAAACTGTGGTATAGCTTGAAACAGTTATCGTCCCATGCCTAGTGTAAACCATTTATGGGTATTACAGATAACCTTGCATTAGTGTCTGCCCCACTCACCCCTAATACAAAGAGTATCAGCACCACCATGAGGTTGTATGGTGAATAACTGTTTAAAGTAGCAGTTTCCAGTGGGTAAAATATGAAGCTTTGGTTTTTCAAAGCAAGCTGTTTGTGGACTGTAGAATTATGCGATTACATCTTTAATGTAATAAGTGATTAGCTGAAGAAATTTTAAAAAGTGAGTAAAGCCCTTGCCTTTAAAGGCGAAGGCAATTGGACTTTTAAAAGTAATCACTTTAAAACTACAGAAACTAAAAATTCACCAAAATACGGAAACCATTTCTAAGTTTGTGTATTTTACAGTACTTTAGTAATACTCAAAAATGTCTCAGTCAATGTTTCCAAACACTTATATTTGATTTATTAAAGTCACACAAGTGGCAATTTCACATCTTTCACAAACCCCAAGCGCAGAGATGTCCATAACGACACATACATAAATGCAAAAATATTAAATTAACCCATGTTTATTTTACTCATTTAAAGTACAAAACATGTTTACAGATTGATGTTTTTCTGATCACAACTCTGTCGTTAGTTGTTTTGGAAAATATGAACAGATGTTTTAATGTTAACATATACATTCTATGTTTTGAGTTTTTACTGCTAATGTCACATCCATAACACTGAAATTGCTCTACACCTTTTTATAGTAAATTCAAGTACATAACAGAGCTGCACGATTTGGAGCAATTTTTTTTTATTGTGATTTATCTGATCAAACAATGTGATTTACTAATGATTCATAAAAGAGCTACAGGTTTAATGTGGTGGTTTTAACACCAGCTGCACTGTGCTACGGTTTATTTAAAACTTCTTAAACATTGTTGTCTTTTTTCCAATAAAAACGTCAGTTGTCATGAGAGATTAGAATAATAACTACAATATTTCAAATTCATTCATTTTCTTGTCGGCTTAGTCCCTTTATTAATCCGGGGTCGCCACAGCGGAATCAACCGCCAACTTATCCAGCAAGTTATTATGCAGCAGATGCCCTTTCAGCCGCAACCCATCTCTGGCACACACACACACACACACACACACATAAACTACGGACAATTTAGCCTACCCAATTCACCTGTACCGCATGTCTTTGGACTGTGGGGGAAACCAGAGCACCCGGAGGAAACCCACGCGAAGGCAGGGAGAACATGCAAACTCCACACAGAAACACCAACTGAGCCGAGGTTCGAACCAGTGACCTTCTTGCTGTAAGGCAACAGCACTACCTACTGCGCCACTGCCTCACCCCTATTTCAAATTCAATTATATACAAAATCTCATACATGACGATATATAAAACCTGTACCTTTAGATTGTTACTTTTTTTTACACGGTTTAGGATAATTCATATCAGAACTTTCAAAAACGATATGCTTGTTACCATATTTGATAGCCCATTGAAATCGCAGCTTTTGTGATTTGAAAATAACTACCTTTCAAATCGTGATTTCTGTTTTAAAACGATTAATCGTGCAGGCCTAGTATTTATACAAGTTTGTACGAGTTTTGGTGTGCAATGTTTCAAACATATTTTGTGACAATAAAATATCAAAATATGAGTGAAAAAAAATGTTCCATAGGGTGACACGGTGGCTCAGAGGTTAGCGCTGTCGCCTCACAGCAAGAAGGTCGCTGGTTCAAGTCCCAGCTGGGCCTGTTGGCATTTTTGTGTGGAGTTTACATGTTCTCCTCGTGTTCTCAAGGTTTTCCTCTGGGTGCTACGGTTTCCCCCATGGTCCAAAGACATGCAGTATAGGTGAATTCAATTAACTAAATTGGCCGTTTGTACGAGTATGTGTGTGAATGAGTATGTATGGTTATTTTCCAGAATTGGGTTGCAGCTTGAGGGGCATCCGTTGCGAAAAACATATGCTGGAGTAGTTGGTGGTTCATTCCGCTATGGTGACCTCTGACTAAGCCAAAGAAAAATGAATGAATGAATGAATGCTCCACAGTAATATTTTTATGTAAAAATTAAACATCCTTGCATATAAATTACATATATACATAATTATTCTGACCTGTATTTATTAAAACATAAAAGGAATATGAAGTCCTACTAAATGTATTATATTTTATCAACTGCTGACATACAAGTGGTTTCTCAAGCGAAAAAAAGTGCAAAGATTTTAAACAGAATGGCTAATATATGGGAGAAACTACTCTCTCTCCACTAGGTGGTGCAAGTCATCATGAGTTTCACAATTGTTTTGGCTCTAAAAAATGTGTCTGTATTTTTTATAAACTTTGTGTGTATGTATATATATATATATATATATATATATATATATATATATATATATATATATATATATATATGTGTGTGTGTGTGTGTGTGTGTATATATGTATGATATGTATGAGTTTCACAATTGTTTTGGCTCTAAAAAATGTGTCTGTATTTTTTATAAACTTTGTGTATATATATATATATATATATATATATATATATATATATATATATATATGTGTGTGTGTGTGTGTGTATATATATATATATACATATATATATATATATATATATATATATATGTGTGTGTGTGTGTGTGTGTGTGTGTGTATATATATATATATGTGTGTGTGTGTATATATTTATATATATGTGTGTGTGTATATATATATATATATATATATATATATATATATATATATATATATATATGTATGTGTGTGTATATATATATATATATGTGTGTATATATATATATATGTGTGTGTGTGTATATATATATGTATGTATATATATGTATGTATATATATGTATGTATATATATATATATATATGTATGTGTATATGTATGTATATATATATATATATATATATATATATATATATATATATATATATATATATATATATATATATGTATATATATATATATATATGTATATATATATATATATATGTATATATATATATATATATGTATATATATATGTATATATATATGTGTGTGTATATATATATATATGTATATATATATGTGTGTATATATATATATATATATATATATATATATATATATATAGTCAAAAGGCAAAATTTGTCACCATAATGTATGTAAAACACTGTACCTTTGATCTAACAACAGATAAATAACCACTTCAGGAAAACGTTTTCTTTTTATTTACTACAGTATTTTTTGTATCTCTGGTTTATCAGATGTCGGAGTTTTATTATTAGTACAGACGTATTTCACAAATCAAGCATTCACTGTCAACTTTGTACATCATTGACAACAAGTCTATGCAATACACACATTCTGTAATCTGTCCTGTATTATTATTCTTTTTTTTGCATGGCTTAGAATTTTTGGCTTTTTATCCACTAATACCATTCTTAAACATGTTCGACATTAATTTAACAAAAAAAGGGGAGGTTTTAACTAAAGCAGATATACAGTTGAAAATCTTTAGTTTCAGTATATGTTATCTTTTCAGGCATTCTCATTGGCTACATCTTTTAGCAACCTCATTAAAAGTAGATTATATTAAGAAAAATAATGTCTCAACACACATGTTTAGACACTGCATTTAGCTTAATTAATGCACATTTTTTTAATATGTCTGTCACTATTTTGTCAAATGAGCTCCGATGTAAGTAGTGTTGATCAGTCTGTCAAGAGAAAGTTTGAATAAAATCCAGCTATAGAAGAATGTCCACATATCGAAAACCCATCTCAGGTGTAATTTGGGTTAGAAAATGTCTTTTTAATGTAACAAAACTCTGTTATACTATAAATTATAACAAATGCAAGATATATGTGGACAAAGCTCCTTTTAAATCTCATTTCCAGGTGTTTTTGGCCGCTGTTATCATCCTCAGCGGTAAAATGTCTTCCACCCATTCATTAGGAGAATTCATCATTCTCCTCCATAATGCGACTTCCTCTGTTGTTGAGTCCATCCAGTCCACCTGTACTCCGTAACTCCGGCCTGTACAACAAGATTGACTTGTCAATCACAAAATTACTTGTATAAATAAGCAGTTTATATGTGGTTTATTGACATGACATTGCATTTTCACTGTGACAGATGACAAAATGAATACAATTAGTATTGCCATCATTTAAAAGGCTGTAAATGAAAACATTTCTTTGTCCTCCATGGACCTTTTGTTATAAAAACGGTTATTACATTTTAAGTTTTTTTATTTGTTTATTTATTTTTCCTTTTTGAGCCAATTCTCAAAACTGTGCTATGGTCTGACTGTCTTGAGCATAGTTCGATAAATTACAACTCTTAAATTAAAAATAAAATCGTAAAATCAATAATAAATACCTCAGGCCTAATTTTACAATAGAATATATTTATTTTTAGGAATATATATCTAAAAACAGGAACTTGATACATTTTGTCACTGAAATCTATGTCCTCTGTTTTGCCACTGTAGGCAATTTTTTAATTGAACAATTCCACTGAAAACTTTAGTAGGGTGTCAATAGGGTTTTAAAACATAAACCCTGCTGAAAAAAACATCTTAAACCAGTCTAAACTGGTTTAAGGCTGGTCATTTCCCAGCCTGACCAACTAAAACTAGGCTGAAAATGGTTGAAAACCAGCCTGGAAATGGCAAAAGCCTCTCTCTTAAACTGGGCTGGTCAACCAGCTAAACCAGCTAACCAGTCTAGGCTGGTTTAAGCTGTTTTTTTCAGCAGGGAAGTAATTGATAAATCAATTTAGAGAGATTTAAGAAAAGTCTTAAAAAGTCTTAAAATTCTATTTTACAATGTATTCAATTTTGTATCGGTATGCTAAAGTTTGCCTGAATTTAATCTGTGAATATTGGGATGCTATGTAGTTTATGCAATCTAAAAAATCCTGCTAAATTTGACATTGCGCTGCTTTGTTTACTGCAGTAAGCAGGGAAACGCCGCTATTAGCATATAGCCACCTGCTGCATTAGCATATGTATTCAGTATCTGAATAATGTTTTAGTTCAGCATTAGTTTCTTACAATCAGCATTTAATAAATATGCTGTAAGTCAAAATGTCACCATTGTTACCTGGTGAAACCTAAAGTGCAATGAGGTCTTCCTGTATATACCCTGTTTAATTAGTTGAAGGATCCCATTTAAAGGTCCCATGAAATTAAAATAAAGTTTTTTAGATATTAGAATCATTATTGTTAGTTTTAAGGATATCTATAAGCTAGTGTGATCCATAACAGTGACATAATCTGTGTTTAGAAAATATAAAACTGATATTAACATGTAAAGCTTGTAGTTTGTCACTTCTGCCTAAATGGATCAATGGTTTTATTCACGTCACCTCATACTTCATTTTCTCATCAAATCATAACCAATCAAATGCTCTCTAGTATCTGACATGCCCCATCCCCTTTTGCTCATGTAGCGGAACGGGTGTAGCTATCGAGCGTACATGTTGGATAACTTAATTTATTTTGGATGGTGAAAGCGAAATTCTCCTACGAGAGTGATTATAGTGCCTCTCAATGGTGAATGCGGTTATATTCATGGCAGGTATTATTTGACAGTTTGGTCATTTTATTTCACTGATTTGGCAACCATTAAACATCATCAGGGAAACGTTTGAATTTCCACTTAGTAAAAAAACATTAGTGTTCCATTTAGGACGACACTACATACATATCATATGCTGTTGAGTGTGTAAGTGCACAAGTACATAGTACATGACTGCATAGTGTGCTGTTTGGGACGCAGGTTATGTCCCACCCTCATGTTTCGGTTGACATTACGTCAAACATCGAATAAAAATGCATAGTTTAAAGCACTTTACCAGACCTTTAAGATCCTTTGACTAAATGAAGTCAATGATGTGCATGTTAAGTTTTTGTCTCAGAATGTTTTACATATTTAACTTTTTAGTAACCACTGTAAAATTAAATTTTGTTGTCTTTTGACATGACACCCCTATTTATTGAAAATGTCCAATAAGTCCCACAAGTTATGGGAAAAAAAATACTATACATGATTCATATAAAATAAATAGCACTATATGAAGATAAGTGTCCAACAATGAAGATAAATTGCTCTCAAGCTATTTGTATATTATTAATGAGTTATCAGTAATGATTATTTATAAGTTTTGTATTAATTTTTACAGTCACACCATACTATGTATTAAAAGTACAGTTAAAAAAAGAAATAAAAAAAAACTGGAAAAGAATTGATAAAGTTAGTGACTTGTGTTGTTTTACATTTTGTCAAACATCAGATTTCAAACTACGCATATATGTGTTTTACCAAAAAAATTACTGCCTATTTGTCAACTATCCATGTGTTTTTCTGAACAGATGAAGACCCTAACACTGGACTGCACCTGTGCCCATGCCGAGTCTCAGGCCTCCGAGTGAGTGACTGGCTAGACGATCCCGGTCCCAAACGGTAAGTTCCACACAGGCCTCTTTCAGGTCCTCTGCCCTGAAGCCATCATAAACCATAGTGTGATTAAATATCGGATTGGTTGTCCTCTTCAGCACCCGAGTCTTCTGGCGGCTCTTTTTGCTGGTGTCGGGGAGTACAAAACTGTGCAAAATAAACAATTATTTAGTGAGCTGTTTTAACAAGAAACACAATACAATCATAATGTAACACAATGTTGTTTTTATTATTACCATTTTACATAGGGGTCAATAGTTGGGCTTCTGATAAGAGGGAGATTCTTGCAATCTTTGACCCAGATATGCACTTCGCCAGAGCCAGGGACGTTCTTTGCTGTTTCAAAAGAAAAGTTCACACAGATCAACTGACAGATCTTTGATGTTTGGCTTTATCTGTAACCTAATCTTTCAGTATATATGTCAACTGTACTGTAAGTGACTGTAAAAGGGTGTAGACTTACAGTGGGAGATCTGAGGCAGGAAACGTATGGCCAATCTCATCTGGCCTTTTAAGTCTGATGGTTGGAGGCTGTTTGTGGTCTGAATAAAGAGGTTCTGGAATCAAAACAAAATGGCTTATTGGAATAATCAAACCAAAAATGAAAATCATAGCTGAAAATCATGGCAAGTCTACAGATAATTTCAGTTGGACTGACAGATTTATTGATGTCCTGGTAAATTCCAGCCTTTACTGGAGTTGTTTAAAGGCACAGTATGTAATTTCCGCCACTAGAGGGAGTGTATTCACAACAAACAAAGGTGTAGTTTGCAGAGTGTGGAATCATGGGGGTTGTGGTCTTCATTACATCCTACAGCACTTCATGGATGAGCTAAATTATTCAAAACTAAACCACTTTGGGTTCTTGGAGTAAAAAAGCAGCCCTGTTTTACATACAGTATTAATATTTTATAGGGCTCTGTGTAGTCTATTAAAATGCATGACATATTCAAGTGTCTTTGGTGTTTCCCTGTTTTCTGTAAAACTAAACTGGACATTGAGGGTGTATGATGCTCAGTAGCATGACAACTTACAACATATTCTGTGTCACTAGTTAAAATTGCACTTTTTTTCTATATTTGAACATTCGTCAAAATATTTGGGACAATTTAAGTACGTAAGTCAGCAAAATATAAAACACTGTTTTGGGTTTTGTGTATTTTAATGAAAAACAATCTTACATATTGTGCCTTTAAGCCATGTATAATCTTTCTTTCTCCACATAAAGTCAATAATGAGAGACACTTTACTTGTATTATTACATATTTGTGTCTTGTCTGCATAAATAGACTAAACATTATCCCCCCAAACATAACTGTTATTTAAATGTTTGAGTTTGCAAATCAGGAAGTAGCATTAGAGTTATGGCAGGTTTAAACTACATAATATTTCTCTCTCAAATAATTCTGTCATATGCAATTTTGACTACTATATTCTACAATGGACAACAATCACTGTCAGATCAAGCAATCAGTTTGGAAATGTTATGCATCACAAGTGCCATGTAATAGAAATTATAAACAAATCAATACTGTACCCTTGGTTTAAGGGGCAAAAGCTTCCTCTCTGTGTCATTAAAATCCCACGTAGAGAGGTCAAGTTCTATCTCACCCAGGAAGCTGTTACGACCAAACATGTCATTGTGCCACGCTGAAAGGTTGAGAACCTGGGATGTCAGATACTCCATGCGGACTCTGTACTGTATGCATTAAATGGTAAAATGAGATTATTACGAACTTTTCATGATCGATATAGCTACAATAGTCATATTTATTCATCAAGTGAACATTTCTCAGGTTACGTATTAAAGCTTAGTATTCCACCATTATAGCAAAGGCTGAAAGTACACTATACATACAGTATAGGGCTTTTTACATTTATTTTCACATTTCACACTGTTCATAAATTGCCAAGGGTCAGTTGTAGAAACTCAGTGTAACTCATTACTTTAAGACAAATTTTAAATTAGGTCCAGTAAGTTCGGGTGGTGATAATAAACTGTCATTTTAAATCACTATGGCCAGTCCAATCCCATAGAGCCACAAGGCCACAATAATGTAATGCAAGTGACATGACAACCCACTGAGCGGTAACATTTGATTGCGACATTGTCATCTATACTGAGTAACGATATGGATCGAAACGAAAAGAAGAAATGGAAGAGAAAGCATGTAGCAGCGTCATTGTCACAAAGTATTGAACATATGTTAGAAAGACTGCCAAACAGTTAAGGCTAATGTTACTTACTTCCTAAAAGATGAGAATCTGTTGCTACCATGAGGTTCTAGACTAACTGGCCACTAACTTAGCCAGGACGTCCAGCATATTAGACATTATTGATTTGTCCCATGACCTCCCATTCCCTATTTTTGCCTTAATTTTTTTTAATAACTCCAATGGAGGCTTTAATACCAAGCAGAGCCCTCAGCCGTCAGCTGGTCACTTCACAGCAAAAGGCGCTAATCCTGTCACGTCTGTGTTTGTGAGGCTGTTTACATTGGTAACTTCATTCGTTTTATTCGGATATAAATCAGATCGCTCTGACAACTTGGTCTGGTGGTCTGGGATGCATTCCAGATGAAACAGGGCGGGTCTATTTATTAGTTTTAAGACAAAATTAATTTAAATAAAATAAATTCTGACCTTGAGAAAATCAAGCACAGGTAAAGTGCAAACTTATTTTAAAACACATTTTTTAAGCATAAAACACGTGTTAACGAACAAAAAGCCTAAGTAAGAGTTTTGCATGCCATGTAATATAAAAATATTTGAATAATAATGTGTGTTTGAATATAAATCACCTATTAAATATTTAAGCATGTGGTACTGTGATGAACAACCACTAATACAATCTGAATATGTTTAAAAAGCACTCTAAAACTTTAATTGTTATCAATATTGTGCATAATAATTATCACAGCATATTGCATTATTGAATTTCACCATATATCTACCTCTTGGGGAAGTTGTATGTGGTGGAAGTAAAATGTGCACATGATCTTAGTAAGCCATTTGACAAAACACTCATTAGTTTGGTACTTTAAAAAGCATGCACATGATTCTAGAGGACAAGCTAATCCAGCACAAAATATTTAATAAAATATCACCAAAATGCTGTTTTTAAACTGCTTAATCAAGTATAAAATGTGGGGGAAAACATGCAAAAAAGGTCCACTTTTAGAGAAAAAGAACCCCCTTTCACTAGGCTGGCTGTGGGCCTGGTTCCATTACCTGGTGTTAAAGGTAGGGGTTTAGAACGATCACAACCCGGGATTTTGCACAGTGTGAAAAAATAAATAGAAAACTTATTCCGTCAGTGGTTTCCTTACCCTAAGAATCTCATTGTATGTAGGATTCAGTGTTTTCTTCTTCACTGCAGTTTTTCTTTTTCCCAAATTAGCAGGATCAGGTATGAGGTAACTCTTCACATACCTACAAAACAAAGCACTTTGTAAAAATGCTGGTGGAAGAAGTATACAAATCAGGCACTGGAGTAAAAGTAGAGATACTCCAATAAATTATTACTCTAATAGAAGCGTAACGTTCTCCTTTTCAATATTACTTTCACACAAAAAGTATTGGATTTTTTAATTGACTTAATTAAAGTAAAATTACTTACTGATGAATGTTTATTTTGCACACATTCAAACACTGACCTAAGATCAATTTGTAAAATAAGTAAATCTTTCACCTGAGATTCTGAATGGATCACTTGAATCAGTGTATTGTTGACTTCTGAACAAATGTCAGTTCAATTCACGAATTAATTAATAAACACAAAGCAATTTGTGAACTGATTTAACAGGTAAATGGATAAAGTTAAGATTGTTCACAAATTAAACATCATTATCTCATCTCTCAACTTCAATTACTATGCTTAATAATAGCTTTTTATTCAGCTACATTTTAGAAACTGAAAGACACTATTTAATTTTGGATTTTAGTGAAGTAAAAGTGTCCTAGAATTAAATATACTCTGATAAAAATATGTACTTTAGTACAGTAGTAAAATCCGCTGCATAAAACATATGCTGGATACGTTGGCAGTTTATTCCGCTGTGGTGACCCCAGATTAATGAAGGGACTAAGCCGAAAGGAAAATGAATGAATGAATGAATGAATGAATGAATGAGTTCAGTAATGAATTAAAAATACTGTCCACGACAGGTGGGTGGTAGTTAGTTTTAAGTCTTACGGATCAGATCTGTTCCTCTTTGCGTCTACCGCAGCCAGATTCTGGCACTGTACAACAAAGATGTGGAACTCCCGCAACTTGTGCACGTAGTTTAGTGAAAACTGGATGCTCCCTTGAACGTCGACACTGTTGTAGTCACTGGTGTACACACTCGCAACACTCCCGCTAACCTGAAAGTGATGAAAATACAGTATTGAACCACTCCCAGTACACCTGTGTGCTTAGTTGCGAACATTTCATCCGCGTAAGAAAAACATGCTTATCTTCAATCGAGATTAAATATAAGATCTCTCTACTTCTTTCCTCATTCAATATCCTGTATTACCATGGATTTGTCTGATTACGGAAATAAAATGTGAATGTTTGTGAATGTGAGTCATGATGATTTAAAAAGAGGTGAAATAGCTGACAGGTTATATTTGTACACGAGTATGAAGTGTAGACTATATAAGAACTACTCAACCGTGCTTATGGAGACCCACCCTGCATCCTTATATGTCTACTTCTATACTATATAGTAGGTAAAAACATTATTTCAGCCACGTTGTATGTCTAAAATCTCATTAAATGGGCACTTCACTATTCCATTAATGCCTAGAGAGAAGTTATGTGAATGGCAACGAATCAGTTGGTTGTACACATGAACATATGCCAGACGTAGTAGTGTAATAATTTCTGTCATAAAAGCCTTATTATAAACCCATATTCATAAAAAAACTGATTCAACAGTCACAATGTAATGCACTTGTGTGTTTGGCTAGAGTTGAAGTGAACCTCTTCATAACATTGGGTCCCCAGTAGTAGGGTTGACAACTGCTGTACTATTTTTTCTGATGGTATTTTGCATGGACTTGGTATATAGTCACTATGTAACATATAGAGTATATGAACATACGGATGACAGAGATGTGGAGCCAGAGTAGTTGCTGAGGTTAGTGAACTGTCTGTTATTCCACTTTGGAACACTGCCACGAGAACTGCTCTCCGAGTCACTCTCTCCTCCATCACTCTAAAAAAAAAAGGACTGTTTATTGTAAATCAACCCATTGATTTCAACTGCCCTACCAAGAAAACAATGTTTGGATTGCATTTCTTAACCCCTAATGTTGTGAGTTAACACACTCAATGCATTTTTTATTAAACACATCTCATCATGTATAAACTATCAACCTCTACCAAATATGTTGGTTTACGGGAAAAGTACCAGAATTAACACATATACTATGAAAAATCTAAATTATTTAAAAACATAATCAAAATAAAACATCTTTGAATGCTAAACCATCTTTATTTTTTGAACTATGCCATAAAATATTTAAGATTCTTATTTAACATGTTTTCTTGTTGTTGTTGTTTTTTTTTACAAAAAAAAACAAAATCAAGTGTAGTAGTGCACCAGGATTATGTTTGGTTGATTTCTTTTGTAAACCAACAATGCAGTGTCATTCTTTAAACGACTTTAACAGTCATTATTTAAAACAGTCAAAATATGGTCAACCATTTATTAGAGAAGGCAGTTAAAAGATTAAGGGGCTTTTCACACTTGGTGCTTTCATGTGTTTTCTTTGAGTGGATAGTTGTCCGATTTGGAAGATGGTAGGTGTAAATGCCTTCTGAAAGCATTATAGACTAATGAAATATGAAAATGAAATATGAAAGCTCAAATTAGGTGGTCAAGGATGCATTCCAGATAAAACAGAAAAAAAATCATCCGAAACCACATAGGTACCTTTTTCTAGTTTTACTGAAAATTAGTACAAAGAACAAATGATTCTTTAGTCCAGTGTTTCTCAACCACTTTCCTGGACGACCACCAGCTCTGCACATTTTACATTGCTGCATCTCAATTCGCAAACTTATACTATGCCCTAAAAGTATGTAATTTTTTGTCAAGGAAAGTATACACTTTTGCGTGTGTAACAGAAGAGTATGCTAGCTTTGGGAGATACTAATTCCTCGTTAAAAGATTGTTATGTTGCTTAGTTATGAGCCCTGTCAATCATCAATATACACATCAATTACATTTCTGTCATATTTAATTTCCTACCTGATTGAAGAAGCAGCAGATAATCTGCCATTCATGAGTCTTTCCTGTAGAGAAATCTCCTCAGGTCTATGGATAATTATGCATTCAGACTTTAATGTCCAACAATGTCTTTGTATAAGGTCAGTATTGTTGTTGCAGATGAAATATAATTGAAACATGTTCCAGTTGGCCAGATATTAGTTACCTGAGGTGGAAATTCATTTTATATCCATTATAAAATATCTGTTCTTTTATTCTTACATGAATGTGCTGTTTAAGTTAGACCAAGTGTGACCACTTTAACATTTGTTTATCACCAGACAAGATCTGGATTAGTACATGGTGATTTAACAAGCTACATGTTCTGACGGGATGTAAGGCTGAAATGTAGATAGTCAAAAATGAAGTTGAGTACTGATGTAACTGTGATTCATCCTGTATGTCACTGATGACCTTGTGGGTATTAAAAACTAGATAAAGAGAGAACGCACTCTGTTTCTGTGTCTCACTCTCTGCAGAAACTGTCGTTGATGTATGATCGTGTGACCTTCTTTGCATAGAATTAAACTTTAAAAGACACTTTAGGTAAGACTTTGTCTTCTTTAGCACTGAGAGAGCCTCCTTAAAGAAAATTGCCACTACATTAACAGGCATACAAACATCTTTACTGAAGCCTCTCTACTTAATGGTTGGTCTCACACATACGCTTTGTTTGTAGTTTATTTACACTTTTCACCCAGTTTTGTAGTTCTAATGAAATTTACATCCAACACGCAATGTATTGTGGGCAATATCAGTGGTTAGAGTATGGATGGTTCTACACTTCTAATTTTTACCGGAAACAGTAAACCATAAACCATATATACTGTACCATGGCATACGCTTTTCAACATACTACGATTTAACATATACTAATTCTATTTTTGAATACTATTTAGGACGTATAGTATGCAAATTGGGATGCAGCACATGTCTCCTTCACCAAACACGCCTGATTCAGATCATCAGATTCAGCTCATTAGCAGACTGAAAGACCTGTGATGGGTGTGACCATAAAGGAGACATCCAAAACATGCAGTGCTGCTGGTCCTCCAGGAACGTGGTTGAGAAACACTGTTTTATTCAACCTATTTAAACTTGCATATAGCAAACAAAATTGATTTTATATACATTTAGTGGAGACGCATTTATACGGCCAAATGTAAATTAAACCACTTTCACATATCAAACAGTAATCCGATCAGAGAAAATGCATGATGTGTCCAGATGTAAACAGGCCCAACATGACAAATCAACTAACTTCTTTTTCCAGGAATGAGGGCACTGATTTGCTGAGTTTCTTCATGTGCTCTGGATCTGCGGTGGAGAAGGAAGTCTGGAGATGTGTGCTAGAGGCTTAAATAAGAAAACAAGAGGGATTCATGTGCAAATCTGTTGCCAGATTACCAGAATAATGTCTTAAAATGTAACTAAAGCAGCATATAAACATATGAGACATATGAACATATGAACATATTCAGTTTGAGACTTGCCATCATAGTTGTCATGCATGTAGTCGTCTGTTTGCTTTAGTTTTTGGTCTTGTCCTTAGGGAAGAGAATACAATGACAACACATGGGGAAAGTAGGACAGATGCTTTTGTCACCTGAACTCTCCATGGACCAAAACAATAAGGTGCTTTACTCTCGAAGAACCATTGTGATGAACATGCCATAGGCCACATCACACAGCAATAGCAGCACTTGGTTAGATGTTGCCAGATAAGTGTATTAGCCATGCCAGTGTTTGTTGGACTGTTTACTGTTTGAATATGCTAAGTTGGCAGTTGTCAGGTTCTATAATTACTGAAAAGTAGGGCTAAACAATATTAAAGAAAAATGCGATAAGCGATAGCATGCTAAATAATGTGATATTCGATATGCAATACGATATTTTAAAAGCTGGTATGTTTTATAGTATTTCAGGTTGGAGAAAAACCATCACTACAACTGTTGGTTAAAAGAAACCAATGATTTTAACATTGTAAACAAACGAAATAAATTAAATGAATATCACCACTACAACCTTTCAAACAACATTTCAAACAGAGTAGAGTCACATGTCTTATTGTTTGCTAGGTCTTGAAAAGTCATTCAGATGGTGTGCTAGAGGCAGGCACACAAAGATCCCTGTATTAAATCATACATTTATTGCTAACCATTGCGATATGTAAATCAAGACATCAACATTTGAGATTTTTCAATTATTTCATTATATTGTGCAGCCCTACTAGTGATTAGTGATGGGAGGTTTGGATCATTTTACTGACTCTGACCTTTGAGTCTCATTTATTGAGATGAACAGATCTTTTTCGAGTCATTTCGTTCAATTTGCCAAAATATTAAAATGTATTAAATATGACGAGTTGCTTTCAAACTCATTTACAATTACACCAAACGTTGATTACACTACAAACAAATCATAACTAAAATGCCATAAGAAAGTGAAAATAATCATTTATTGTTTACTTGCTCTTTTGTCTTTGGTTATGTCCGATCACCTGTTCTTACAGGTCTGCAAATTTGAGTAGTTTGCTCACGTCACACTGACCGTTCTATATAAACTTAACCAATGCACACAGCCTGTGCCGAAAGAAGCCATGATTACTTTCAAGTCTTCTGGTTTTTGAGTCGTTCGTTCATCATATGACAGCATGTAAACAGATGACTCAAACCCAAGGACTCGAGAAATGAACAGATCAAATCTTTTTCCGGCTCTAAATGCATATGATTGGCTTCTGTCTTTCACGTGATGAATAAACGACTCAAACAGAGGACTCGAGAAATGAACAAACAAATCTTTTTCTGGCTCTGACTGCACTTGATTGACTTCTGTCTTTCATGTGATAAAACGAATGACTCGAACCCGGTAGAAGACTCAAAAAGAAGCTTATCTTCTACTCCACCGGAACAAATTTGTGTATGCACAAATAAATGAATCACTCCCTGAGAGGACTCATCGTTCTCGAGTCATACAAAAGATTGGTTAAAAATAAACTAATCGTTCAAGAATGACCCATCTCTACTAGTGATCTCTTAGTGCAGTATGGATTGGCCTTTAGACAGAGACTGTATGCGTATCATAATTTAAACTGAAAATCAATAGAAACAATATAATTTTAAGTGTCATGGTGTAGAGGATTGATGCTCACTTGCAATACTGCTGATGTCTTCCATGCTCTTATGGTATACAGGTCTAGATGAGGCTCTTTTCAAAGCTTTCTGAATGAGACTTTCATTTTCACCTACAAGATTGGAAAGTGGCAGTTACAAAATGCAAGAAGTGTTGCTGGCTTTGTTTTCCCTTTTCGTGAGACATTGTGCAATGTGAGCACTTACATTTATTTGATTGGACACATGTGAAAGGGAAAATTCTATTACAGCACTAATTAAATTACACATGCCTAAAATGCCAGTAAATTAGCATTGGGATTTTTTGGTCTCTTTAACCAGCTAATCAAGCTCTTTCTAGGTATACTAGAAACTTCCATGCAGGTGTACTGAAGGAATGTGTAGCAAAACTATGCCGACCCTCCAGAACCAAGTTTGAACACCTCTGGTTAAATTCTTTTAAGCCATGTTAGCAGTTCACAAAATGCATGTGTATTCCTTATTTGGACCTTTTTTGAAATCTGTGTTTTAAAGCGTAGAGCTGTATTATTTTTCTAAGCAATCACAATTACAAAAAGAACTGGAGGATATGATAAGAAAAGCCTCAAACTCACGGTTTTGAATCCCCTTAATAATATTTCCATCTGTTTGTGTGGTTAAGTGGTGTCCCAGACTCCCACTCCTGGTCTGGAGGTCAGGGGAGCCATGTACTGGAGTACTGGTTTTCACTGGGGGACACTTACAGCTGTGGTTTGTCTCTGGAGAGGATGTGAATGACGTGCAGATAAAATCATCAACCTGCTCTGCAACTGGAGGTGGAGTGTACATACTCTTGTCCTCTGAGATTCCAAGGTAATGCTGGTAGTCCCGTGGAATGTAGGATCTTGCAAGTGGTTGAGAGTCAGAATCTTCTGAGGTACGAGATGTTCTTCTTTGACTGTTTTTGTCTCTGTCTCTCCAAGATATTTCTGGGGATGTTTTTGGCAGGGTATAGCTAGCTTCCTGAACTTTCCTGGATTGTGTAAGACTAGTATCTGGTGCCTTTTTTACTTGCTGCAGGTTGGGACTCTGAACCTTCTTAGATTGAAAATGCAAGTCCTGGTTTTGTTCCTCTCCCGTAGCATTCACTGAAAACATGCTGGTTGCACGCCGCATGGCATTTGCTTTTCCATTTAAATTACCTTTGATACTTCTTCTACCCTGCTGAGATCGTGACTCTTGACCAGTCTGAGATTTAGGTACCATTGTGGTTTTTGAGCCTTTCTGTGGCTGAAGAGAATGAGATAGTCCATGAGTGATTGTTTCACCTGAGACCCCTTGTGACTGATCAGGTTTTGGTCCTGATTCTTGTCTTGACATAATCTTCTTTTTTGAGGGAGACTGGAATGCTTTCATTTTTGCTGACGATGATGTTTTGCTATTCTGGCTTTCATTTACAAAATCTTTGACATTGGCTCTCTCATTTGGACTTTGTGGACTCGAAGATCTATGGTTTCCACTATCAAGGACTGGTGACCTTTCTCCAGTTTTTACAGGGGATCCTCCCCAGAAATCACGGAGGTTCTTAAACTGTGAAGTGGTCATACCATCCATCACAACTGTCTTATCCTTCCGTAGTAGATGCCCAGAGAAATTGGGAGACAGTCTACCTCTGGCAGAAGTAATGTCCTCAACATCATCTTCATCACCATCATCAAACTCAGTGCCAATTGTTCTGAGATCAAACTCTGATTTTGTAAATCTTTGGTTCAGTCGAGTAGTAGTAGTGGTTGATCTATTTTTAGCTGCTACTGATGTTCTAGATTCTTTCTCCCAGAAGGACCTTAGTTGCTTGATCCTTTCTGCCATGTTCTCTTGCTGGGAATTCTGCTTAACAGAAGGACCTTGACTTGTCTTTTGAGCAGTTTTTGATTTTGTTTCTAATTCTTTTTGAGCTGAGTGGTCTGCATCACTACTGTTGATGCTAACGGTGCCTCCAGCACTATCATCATCATGACTTCCTTCCAGGGACCCACTGTCAAGCGCTGGTGAAGATGATTTCAAACATGAAGTAGTACATTTTTTATCTAAAGTGGAGTTTGCAACTATCTTGTCAGTCTTCTGATTAGCATATATCAATGGTTTTGATTCATTGATTATAATGGGTACTTGGGTTGCAGTCCCTACATCCTCAATGTCTACATTTTTCCAAACCGTCTCTATTTTCTGAAGACCTGGAGACATTACTTTCAAGTTTGGTTCACTTCTCCAATGGTCCTCTATTTCTTCAGTGGACCTTTTGGCTAAGTCACTAGGGATGATTTCTTCATTTTTAGCAGGTGCACCAGATTTGCCAATCAGAATCTTTGGACCAATATTTTCTTTCTCCCAGAATGATTTCAAATTAGCAATTTTTGGTCGCTGGTTCTCTTCGGCATCTGATCTTTCTTTTTGCTGACTGATGTCAGCCAGTTTGACTTCACTCTTGTCCTCTTTCTTGATCAAAGCCTCTACTTTGTTCTCATTTTGAACTTTTCTGCTTACAGAAATATTCACCACTGGGACCTCTGGATTGACAATGTTAGCAGTAAGAGCAGAGTCAACAGAAGGCTTTTTGATTAGAGATTCTTTATAAAATGTAGATTCAGATGTTTTCCTTTCTTTTCGAGGATTTTGGGAAGGTTCATCAACACTCTGTTCCTTTCTCCAATCTGCCTGTTCTAAAAATATTGTATTGACTTCTGAAGGACCTTCACTTTGTCGTGGCATGATTAAGTACACGTTACTTCTTGGTTTGACTGTGTGGTCAACGCCATCATCAAAGTCCAAGTCTTCAAACTTTGAGTCCTCCTCCATGTCCTGAACATTGCTGTCTATATCCAGCCTATCACTGCTGTCTGAGCTCCTGCTGAACCATTCAAGAACTTTGGCAATGGAATCACCTTGTTCATCAGTAGGTGTAGTGATATGTTCATCTGTCATGACTTCTGATTTGGGATCTTCTTGGCTACTAGTCTTTTGCTTGATATTGAAAGCAAGAGGGCTGCTTTCAGTCTCATAGTCAGTTGAGGCATTTGTCATGTTGAATGTTTCTGTTATGTTGAGGGCTCTGGGGAAGTGTTCATCTGTGAAACAGATAGTATAGCATTTGACAATGACCAAAGACAAATCTAAGCATGAAAAATTTTAAACAGTAATTTAATCCTAAATTTAGTTTAATTTGAAGGAGAGTAAATACTGTAAAAAAAAAAATTGGGGGGTTGATCATGGCTTTAAGTGTTAACGTTCCTTTGAGTCCCAGTGTACTTGTATTTATCACTGAATTGACTCAGATTTCAAGCCGGTTGTTTGTAATGTTAGTTTTCTGCAAACGAATTTGTCTTATAGGTTTTAATGACAAAGTCATTCTGTAAGTAAATTACATAATTGTCATTTTTGGATGAATTAATCTTTTAACAAATCTTACAATTTTCAGAAAAATATAGATCATACCAGTGGTAGTTTTCTTAATTTTCTCTTCCGTTTTCATTGTCTCCAATTTTGGAAATGGAGCCATCTGATTTTCCACATTCTCAGACATGTGATGTGTGAGTTGAGGGGTAGTAATCTCATTGAGTGGCTTTTTAGAGTTGTCACTGAATGCAAACACTGCATTCTCAACAGGATGATGCATTTCAACAGAAATGTTTTGTCTCTCTACTTCCATACTTGGTGACTGTGGAAGGCAACTGTTTGATTCTCCTCTTTGTTTTATAACTTCTTCCACTTTCCTGCTATCATCTGGTCTTGTGATTGAGTTCAAACTGAGACGTGGTTGTATCTTTGGCTTCTCTTGTAACCCTTGTGGCATGTTTATCAGTTGTGATGAGGCTCTCACTGGTAAACGTGACTTGGGCAACTTTATTGGTGAAGAGGTACTACATTTCTCTTTGTTTTCAGTTTTGTGGCTTGATTCTTCTGTACGTCCCAGAGCAAGTTTAGATTCTTCTGAATCCTTTTCTTGAATGCTGTTTTTGTGAACATTGCTGAGGGAAACAACTGGTTGTCGCAGTTGGCTCTTAAGAGTGGGCTCATTGAAGCTGTGTTTTGGGATACCTCTTGGTGGTGGAGACCTGATACTGGAGTCTGCTGTGGCAAATATATTCTGGCTGGATATGCTCTGGGTGGACACCGAGCTGGCAGTGTCTGAGACAGAGCTCTGGGGTTTGTTGATTTTGGTCCTCTTCTTGGGTACGGGCTTTTGACCCGGAGGTTTGTTGTGTACTGCATTAGAAACCTCACTGTTCACTTGACTGTGACTTGCTTTCTGATGATTATCTGCAAATGAGAGAACTGTAAGCATGGGAGAACACAAAACATACCAAATTTCTGAACACAAGTGAACAAGTTGCCACAATAACCTTGTGAATCAGAGCCCCTGTCTAAAGATTTCCTGAGTCCAGGACGTGAGGTATAGTGGAGATCAGTCTCCTCAAAATCAAGCTCTATTGGAACACTGTTGAACGGGTTGTGTCTTGGCTGGAACCAGGTAAAAAAGGCAAAGTTAAACATAAAGAAATTTACTGATCATGTACACTACAATCAAAATTTTATTTGTCCTTAATTGGCCTTGGAAATGACATTTCACCAGTTTGTTTGCTATATTTTGCTAGAATTTCTCTACATCCACATAGCAAAGTTTGTGTTTTTTTTCTTTTGCAGATTATAAAAACTCACATCAACAAGGTGATCCCGAACACACACATATCAAAAAATATTTGATGCAGGTAGCTATTAATGCATCTATGTTAATCATCTAGTTGATAAAGTTTTACCAAGTTTTGTTGTAATATTCAGACCCCCTAGTCCTTACTTAATCCTTAATTAAATGCAAAAGAATTGCAAAAATAAATGATCTCATCAAACCTCCAATTGCAAACCATTTAATCAAATTATATTTAAAATTAGTATCACTTGTGCCCTTACAGTCCATTACATTACATGGGGTGGGGGGCTGTTTTGCAGGCTGTAAACAGATGCAGATGAACCGCAAATAATTTACATGTGAAGTCAATGCAAAGATGCGATTAGACATCCTGTGGCATGAATTGGGCGTTTTGTGTGTTTGACATGCTTCATACTGCAAAAGAAAGTGGGAAACCTCTAACAAACAGAGCAATGGAACAGACAGAACAGCAAGCAGCTTGCAATGATGGAGAATGGTTCAAGAATCACGGACGGTAGACGAGACCCAATTGAATGGCATTATTTGTGCTTTGTATGTATTATTTGTACATGTATGGCTGGTATTATGGTTTACATAAAATCAATATATGATGTCATTTTAGGCTTTCCCTGCCATTGACAAATGAAAATGCTTCCCTGCTTTTGACGATTTTTACAGCAATCTGTGTTTTAGGTGCATTACTGTAGGGGAAGTCCTAATGCATGTCCAGAGCAAAGTACATGTCAGATGCTCCGAGGAGTGAAATTTGAGAGAACGTAAGATTGTGAATAAATATAAAAGTTATACAACCTTCCTTTGGCTTAATCCCTACCGTTTAAGATGGATCATTGCCATTGCGTCAGATTGCACACCTAACATAATAGGCTACCTAATATGGTAAATTATAAATATATACACACACACACACAGTTAAAGTCAGACTTATTATTAGTGTCACAGTATGTCTGATAATATTTTTTCTTCTGAAGAAAGTCTTATTTGTTTTATTTCAACTAGAATAAAAGCAGTTTTTAATTTAAAAAAAAAATTCTCTGTTAAACAGAAATTGGGGAAAAAATTAAACAGGGGGGCTAACAATTCTGACTTCAACTGTATATATATATTTTTTTATTTTTTAAATGTATTTTCTTTTCCTTTTTTAAATCGCAAAATTGACCGCAAATTTCTGGGAATTACCACCATAAAATCAGTCATTTTTATTGCAAATAAATCACAAAAAAATCTTGAAAACTAGGGCATCTGAATAGTGTTAGTAAACTTAGCAGCACAAACACAGCTCTGTAATCCGACATCCTTTTGGTAAGATTAGTTTAACTTGCAGGGTTCTTCTTTCCTCTTTTGGATAAGTGGAACGTCTGTGTTTCCAAAAAGTACTGTTGTGCCTATCTACATGGCTACACATGAGCAGTGTTTTTTCCAAACTATAGATTGTTGTCCAAAAAGTTTCTTTGTGTGCAAAGACAATTGAAGTGGCATATAAACAAAAGGGTGAAACAGTACACACTTTTGCAGATTAACCTAAATCAACTATTGTTCTGTGGATGGGGCCTGAGATACAATTGTATGTTTTTATGAGCACCTTACCTTGGATGGCGATCGCATTCCTATGTTTAGTTTTTCCTGCTGGACCTCTAATGTGTCACCATTTTCCCTGATTTTAAAACAAACAGAAGCATTCTAATTTTGTGCATTTTTAACAAACACAGTCAACATTTCTTGAAATTAAGTTCTAACAGACATCCTGCAACGAACAGGATCAATTAAACCTTCACAGACTTTAAAGGTATGACATACAAACTCCTATGTTGACCCTTGTGGAGTCATAAAGATCTTGAAATCATGTGACACCACGCCTATTAAACACACAAGCACCTGAGAGAGGTGGAGGTTGCACACACAGTGCAAACCAAAGAGTTCTGGCAAGCGTGTACAGATATTAATCTTGCTGTTCTAAGTTGTTAATACAAAGCTACTGGATGAATATATCACATTTGTTCACATATAATGTGTATAATTACCATATTTTAGCATTACCTCTCCTTAAGGTGCTCTGAGGACTCAGCAGTCCGTGTTATTTTAGGTGACGTCATGATGCCTTCACTGTCCTTCCTGCTGATGCTCCTTGATCTGCCGCCCCACGACTTGGTTAAATACTCTACATAAGAGATGTTCACTGATAAGTCGTGCTGTTTATATTCTTGCATTTAATTGCATTGAAGGCTTTGTTTACACTGCAAATATTAATAATGAATACATCTGATCTTTCAACCACATCCAATTTTTGCTCCACTCCTGTTTACACTTAACCACTTAACCATCCGATGTCTGTGTTTATAAGAATCTCCCACCCAAAGATTGACCCTTCTAGATGGACTTTCGTTAATTAATCTTCTCAAAAGTTGGTGAAAGTGCAACAAATTTTAATTAAGTAGACAAAACAAAATATTTTTTAATAATCATGATTATATCTTTAAAGTTTTCAGATCTGTGATCCGATCTGGAAGGCAAGAGTGCACTAGTCCACTAGTTTGTTGAGAAGGAGTGGGTACAACATTTCTTTCTAATAGCACATTTCACTTTCTGGCATGTGTTTGCTACAGGTGTGATCATCCATTTACCAAATTTCATCCATTTTGAGATTTACCATTTCTTTAATCACCAAAACCAAGGTAAATTGAATATGAAACTGAATTGTTTATTCAATTCAATTCAGTTCAGCTTTATTTGTATAGCACTTTTACAATGTAGATTGTGTCAAAGCAGCTTCACATAAATGGTCATAGTAACTGGATCAGGGTAGTTCAGTTTTTAGTGTTTAAGTTCAGTTCAGTTTAGCTCAGTTCAGTGTGGTTTAAAGTCATTACTGAGAGTCCAAACACTGAAGAGCAAATTCATCGATGTGTAGCTCTACCGAATGTTTACAGCCAAGTTGGATGTATGGTTATCTGATATGCATTAAATATAATTGCATATTTGGAAGTGGCTCAGAATGGATATGAAAAACAATCTGACCTGGTTCTGGTTTTTGTGTTTTGTGTCAGATCCTTTTTTTTTTTGTTGTCAAATCCTATAATCTAAATAGCCCAAGAATTGCACACAGTCTCACCAACAACTGAGGGTTTTCTTTGCTTCATCGATGCCATGATGATATCAGAGCCATGGATCCTGTCCTGGTGTCTTTGTGACTTCACCTCGTAAAACCATTCTCCTGACATGTACTTTCGTCTGTCTTCCTCTGGGATGGCTTTCTGCAGATGTCTGGGAATCAAGTGAGAGTTTCAAAAAGAAGAAAGAAGTGTAGTTGCAAAATGCATCTAACCTAATATAGTCTCACCTGAACTATACAAATACCAAGCATTCCATATGCCACAAATGAGTTTATTATCTGTAGTCAAGAACATCCACTGCATTAGTTGTTTGCTCACAGAAGTCTTTATGTACAAATGTGTCAGCGTACAGTGTTACGATCATAAACTGAGCTTTCCAACTGTCTGTACCTCATTGCACTTTATTGCTTTATTATGTTACACTGCTTTTGTTAGAGCCCCTTAAATCAATAGCATGCCTTATGACCAAAGAGTGGAGACAAGCTCTTCTTTCATTGGCTTGTACAGAGCATTGCTTACTATGTTTGCTTTGCCAATACCAAATCCCATAACGGTTGCTTCATATGTAATCCTGCAATTAAGGTGTGTTTTAGTCAACTGGATTACAAGTAGATTAGGGAGATGCACTTCCATTAATACCTGATGTTTTAATCTCTTTAATAATCTTTAGGGATCTGTGGGTGCATGTATATGATAAAAACATTATAAAATGATACAGAAATACAATGTTTGGTGTTTTATCAGATATCAGAGCAGAAACTAATACTTTGAATGATTGCTGTAGGTTTGCTTTTTTACTGTAAGTAATGGTTAGAGTGTGCTTTGCTTAATACTTATTTTTATTACAGCTTCAAACCAACTGAACTATTTTAGATGCCAGTCTTAAACCATATCTTAGTGTTTTCTCTACTGTTGTATGAGGAGGGTGCCTCAGCCCCCCTGAAAGTCAAGTTATTTAATTTTATTTGCTTTATATAGCACCAGATCAAAAAGCATTTAAAGTTCTTTCCTTCAGAACAGGTCTATACTTTGTTCTTTTATTAAACAAACAAAAGAGTCTTTTGTTGTTTATCTTATTTACTGTCTGCTCTATGTATATCTCACGGTGTGAAATTCTGATCTGAAAAACATCGTAAAATATCAGGGTTTCTGCAGGTATTACAAAGTTAAATTTAAAGACCTTTTTTAAGACCATTGTGAATTAAATTTCAGACTTATACAGGATATTATATTATAATTAGTTATGTAAATAAATAGTCAAAACAAGCAACTCCTAGCTGTATGCATTTTCAACACCACTTATCTAAAAAAATCTGTCCTTACCATACTGTATATGGCCTATAAATACACAGAGAACTTTTAAACAAATATTATTATAAGCATGATAACTAAACCATATTGGTAAATAGAGTTATTGTATTGAGTTTTGTTAAAAGTTCTAATGAGATGTTGGTGATTGTATATGTGTCCATTGACGTAGGAAAATTAAGATCTGTTTATAATTATTTAAGATCTACAAGACCAAATTTAGTGAATTTTAGACTTTTTGAGGCCCATTATTTTTTCTTGAAATTCAATACCGTTTAAGACTTTAAGACCCTTCAGACACCCTGAATATGCTGTGTCAACTATAGATAAAAATCATCTGAGCCAGGTGAAAGCAAATAATTCATTTTTAATGCTGGTTTCACACCAAACACAATATTAAGTAAATTACAGAAAATCAAAGCAAACGCACAAATCTAGGGTAATTATCGCTGCACGGTGCGAATGACATGGAGTTCATAACACATGTGTCTACCTAACAAGTTGTGTCTTTAATCCTGCTGAAAGTAGTCAGCAGAAGATGGTCATAAAGAGATGGACATGGTCAGCAACAATACTCAGTAGGCTGTGGCGTTTACATTATGCTCAATTGCTACTAATGGGCCCAAAGTGTGCCAAGAATATATTGCCCACACCATCACACCATCACCACCAGCCTGAATCATTGATACAAGGCAGAATGGATCCATGCTTTCATGTTGTTGACAAATTCTGACACTACTATCCAAATGTTGCAGCAGAAATCAAGACTCATCAAGACCAGGCAACACTTTTCCAATCTTGTATTGGCTAATTTTGCTGTAGCCTCAATTTCCTGTTCCTAGCTGACAGCAGTGGGACCAGGTGTGGTCTTCGGCTGCTGTAGCCCATCTGCCTCAAGGTTTGACGTGTTTTGCGTTCAGAGATGCTCTTCTGCATACCTCCATTGTAATAAGTGGTTATTTGAGTTACTGATGCCTTTCTATCGCAGCTGGAACCAGTCTGGCCATTCTCCTCTTACCTTTGGCATCAACAAGATATTTGCGCTCACAGAACTGCCGCTCACTGGATATTTACTATTTAGCCTAGAGATGGTTGTGCATGAAAATCCCAGTAGATCAAAAGTTTCTGAAACACTCAGACCAGCCCATCAGGCACCAATAACCATGCCACAATCAAAGTCACTTAAATTACAATTTTCCCAGTTCTGATGCTCGGTTTAAGCTGCAGCAGATCTTTTTGACCATGTCTACATGTCTAAAATGCATTGAGTTGCTGCCTTGTAATTGGCTGATTAGAAATCTTTTATATAATATACTTTTTTTTTTTCAATTCTTCCAATATCATGCAGCCCCACCATGTGCAGTTATTTTAAGCGTTATTCAATTGTGATTAAACCGAAAGAACCTTCTTCTTAAAATTCTACTACTAGGTGTTAGCAGGGTCTTAATATTCCCAGTAGCTGTAGCCTGTAAAGTGATAAGGTTACTAATGATTAAAGAAAAAACAAGAGGACGAAGCTAATAATTATACTGTGACTTGTTTGAGAGCTGTTCAAATACTTCAAATTTCAAAACAACCTTAATAAAGACAATGTGAGCGTTTGCAGTGACTTTCAAAATGGTTTGATTAAAATCATGGGTTTGGAAACAACCGCTGGAACACATCTTTGCTTTTGAAGGAGGGGAAACTATGTTGGTCATGTGAAAAGGCCAAGACAATTATTCCACAAGGGTAGACTTAATCCTTTTATAGAAGGTTGAGTAGGGTTGAGACTGAACACAGGGAAATCACGCAGACATGGCCAGATTCTGCATTCTTCCTTTCATGTAGACTTCCAGTCTCCTTTCAAAGCATTAAACACGAGAACAAATAATTTGGTGGAGAAGGCGTTCGTGTTTCCTGTTTTTAATGTTGTGTTTTGGTGAATTTTATTGGGTACGAGTAAAAATGTGCGTTGTTATGTGCATGTGCAAAAGTCTGAGCTTGGTTGAAGTTTTTAAATGAGTTTGAGAAGTTACTACATGGTATCAGCCTAATTTTGGCCATTTGTTTAGTAAAGATGTATTGTGATGATCTGTGAGTAGGCATGGGCCGGTATAGGATTCTGACAGTATGATAATCTTGGAAAAAAAGATTAGGTTTCACATATTGTGATTACTGCTCTAAAATATGTGCTTTTTAAATGTGTGGTTAAAAAAAAACTTTCCCCTTTGAACACAATATATTTTCATTATCTCCAGTACAATATCTCCAGCAGAAAAGATATCCAAAAATGCCATTTTTAATGGTGAAGAAATCTTTAATTTTGAAGCGAATGAATTATTGACTTCCGCTGTCTTCATTAGTTTCAAAAACACAGATTTCTTTACCATTTAAAATGGCAATTTTGGATATCTTTTCTGCTGGAGATACTGTTGTCCTAAAAAACAAAACAAAAAATGTAAATAAAAAATTGTACATATGAACGGTATAGCAAAAAATGTTGCTGGTTTTAAAATCTTGACTTTTCCTAACCGCGGTATACCTTCGTCCCATGCCTAACTGTGAGTGACAATAGCCTTTGTGATACAAGAACCAATTGCTTTACCTTTTTATAGTGTGCCGATGCCACATTAGGGACTCTTCACAACAGAAAATCTAGAATGTTTCTTTCTTTACTTTTTTTCAGTCCTCCATGACAAGCTCCATCACATCACTGAATAGGACCACTGAAGCTCTGCTATACACCGCTTTTAATAAAGCTGTGTATACGATGCAGAAGATGATGACACTGGTCTGATGTGTAACGTTCACTTTTAATATTCCTATTATTTCAAAAAATAAGAGTAGCTATTTTTTGTTTTTACTCTTGCTTCCTGAAGTCAGTCACTAGTTTCACATTCTCAATGACATCCCTCATGTTATTAAAGATGCCAAGTGATGATTAATTGGGAGGCAACATGTTCTGAGATGTTGTGTCATAGTCAAACACATAATAATCTGAATTGATTGTTGTAATAGCCAGATATTTTGTAGTTTGAACGTTATTCTACCCAAGGTTGCACATAATCAGGAGAAACGATAATAATTTGACATATTATTATTGCTCAAGAAAGAATTTTTGTAATACTAAATATCTGTTCTGTCACGTTTGACTAAATGAACGTATCCTTTAATGACAATTTAGCTTATATGAGTTCATTTAAAGCCGTGTTTTAGAGTAAAAATATTTTGAAGAAGCATTTATTTATACATATATATGTATGTAAAAAACATATATATGAAAAAAATAATAAAAAAATTATATATATATATATATATATATATATATATATATATATATATATATATATATATATATAAAATTTAATTTAATAAAACATAATAAAAATACAACGAACAAAAATTCTACAAAATGTTTAGAAATTTTGCTTTTCTTGATTTTTCCTTTTTTTTGTATTTAATATTTTTCTTATGTATTAATATTGTATTTAAATTTGTATCGTATTGTAATTTTTTTTATTATTCTTTTTTTAATCATCCAAGTTAGGATAGTTTAATAAAAAAAAAAAAATTATGTCATAATTTTGTCATCATTTACATGTTTCAAAACCTAAGAGTTTCTTTCATCTGTTAAGCCCAAAATAAGATACTTTAAAGAAAGCTGGAAACCAACCATTAACTATTATAGTGGTTGTTTTTTGTATAAGTCAGTGCTTACAAGTTTTACAGATTTATTCCGAATATATTTTGTGTTTGAAACAAGTAAGCGGTTTAAAAACACTTGAGGGAGAGTAAATAGTGGGTAAATTTCCATTTTTGGGTGAACTATCCCTTTAATTTGATGCCTGGATCATACCTAAAACTGATTCAATTAGATAAAATATATCACACTGCTGTTACTGCATGATTTATTTCATATCAATTAGCCATCCACAGTACAAAGGAGATCAATTTAGGCTACAAATAGTAGCTTGTTTTGGATCTGCTGGTTCAGTTCAATTCATCTTTATTTCCATAGCATTTTTAATGTCCATTGTGTCAAAGCAGCATAACAGAGATGAAGTTCTAGTAAATTGAAACTGAGTGAGTTGAGTTTAGTGTAATGTAAATGTCACTGCAAAAATGCTGAAGAGCTACTGGTGTCTTACTTGATTCGATCCTCCTCAGCTTTCTTCAGCTCTGCATCCCTCTTTAAAACCTTCATGATCATCTCCTGCTCCTCCTCGGACAGATGACTCAGGTCAATCATGATGGCTGTTTGTTTCTCTCACAGTTCGAGACTCTAATACTTAAACTCCGCACTGCTTTCTAATGCCACTCCTGAATAATCATCATGCGCATTTATGGCACCTGCAACCAGCACATTAAAACCTCTTAGATTCTTCATTAATCTCTTTCAAATCAAGTGACTTTTCTATAAGGCACAAAATAATCATTAGGCCATAACTCACTCATTTCTTTAATGGAAAGGACAGATGTAACCTAATTTGTACACTGAATTTGCTGTAATTTCGAATCAAATATGTGCACAATGAGGTTTAGTGTGGGCCTGTTTTGAGAGCGCTGAGATTAGACAAAACATGTGACGGCACTGTCAGTTGACCATGAGAAGGGGCAGACCTTTAGATCGAGCACATTTATGGAAAATTATTAAGTTTGCTATTGAACTGAAATTGCATAATGCTGATCCCACTTAGGGGTAATGTCAGGAAAATGGACTTAATATGTTCTATTAACATTATAAGATTATATCTATGTAGCTACAAACACACACACACACTGTGTGCATTTGTCTTTAAAAAAGTTCCTTACAAGACCATATGACTGTATTTATTGCTTAAGACACCAGCATGTCAAGTTAGCTCTGCAAATATTTGAAAACAGCTCACTGAGACACTATTTACTCTGGGTTACACCTTGATCAAAACAAGCCTTAAAGAAATGACAAAGGCAGCCTAATAACATTATACAAACAGCCATGACAATGAAATAGCAATGAGATTTAAATACTTTACACTGGTTAGGAGCTTAATAAGCATGGGTAACTGAAATGCAAGTTCTTTAATGTGAAGTCTGCAATTATGATTAAGCATTTGGTAGAATGAGAGAAAATAAAACATATTTAGCTCATCAGTAAAGGGTTTAACATGCTGATTGATTGGCAATATTTGTTGCTGTAATTCCACATCCTGAATCCTGTGTCTGACTGAAGACGTTTTGGCTCATCAAATGAAGCTCTTCATTGCAAATTGCATTAGGGTGAATTAAATTTAATAAGTTCTTAAGAGGCAAACTGCAGTTTTTGAAAAGCAGCAGGCCTATATTTTACATATCAACTTTAAGTCGCACTTTTGGCCATTTGTTTCTTCTGTTCATGCCAATTTAACCACAATGAGCCCTTTAGAGCTTCAAGAGTTTATCAGTTGACTTCTTGAACTTGTAATTGAATTTAATAAACAGGATAATGTGGTGTAGTCCTGTTTGCGATGGTAAAAGCACAGCTGTCTCGGGATTCATGTGCTTTCAGTTTGTTTTTTGTTGAATTGTACTGTTATAATGCATTAACATTATAAACGCAATGGAACCATAAGTATCTTAATGAACCTATACATTAACTAACTTTAGTTAATTAAGTTAAATTGTGTTCCACCATTCATTTGAAAATAGTTTCGGTAATCCCTCAAAATCAACCAGAGAGTACTTCTCTCACATTAAAAACTATGTAAATATATAGGCTACTTTTGTAGCTTTATCTCAGTCTATCGATCAAGACACGTCATATATTTTACGCAAGACCCAATAGCACAACGACAGCGTTGGATAATTTATATTCACACACTTAACTTAAAAAGTAAAGTCGATTCAAGCTTAACGACAGGTGTATATCCATTAGAAAGGCGTTAGCTTACCTTGTTTCCGTGGCAGAACTTCTGGAGCGCTTCACTGACGCGCAGCTCAGAGCACATCTTCACCCGTTGAGCGAACCGTCCCGAAGGGTTGAACGCAGTCTTGACGTTGAATACCTGTCGACCAATCAGAGACTAAGTTTGTGCGTTCGACGCGACGCGTGATGTGCGTAGTGCGCCTCAGCACCTTGCGCAAAGAAAACGCATTGTGTTGCCCGAAAGTATAATGTAAGCCATATAGAATAATAAAGCCAATTATTACGTAATTTATAAGCCATTTAAAGTGCTCAGTCTTGTTAAATATATTGTTCTTTTAAAACTGAGGTAAAATACCTGTCAAAATTTGCTCACCCTTCACTCTTCTAAACATGTCTGACTTGGCTGCATTCTTGTTAAACACAAAAGAAGTTATTTCGAAGAAAGCTGGGAAAACATGTAATCGTAGACTTCTATAGGATTTGTTTTTCCTGCTTGGGGAGGAAAATAGGAAAGTCTTCTTTTGTGCTCAACAGAATAAAGAAGAAACTCACAGGTTTGGAACTACTTGCGGGTGGTAAACTATATGAGTTATATATTTGTTTTATGAATGGATAACTATTCTGTTTTTACATTTAAGTAAGAAAATTATACATTCTTGTTACATTTATTATGTTTGTTTAATATTCCACAACATAATAGGCACCTCATGTAAAACGGAGATACTTTTTTTCACCTTAATAATCTATTTAATTCTGTGTAATTTATAGTGCTCAGATTAATGTGTAAGCCTACTGCTGTTATGCAACTTATGCAAGTTTATTTAGTTTATTTTTTTTTTGCTGAATTCTGATATACAACAAAACTGAGTGTTCCTATTGCAGTGACCACTTTTTTAACCTCTCAGAAAAAAAAATTGTTTAAGTCACTCAGAATTCAATTCACTATTAATAATTCACACCAACAATGATACAGCGTAGTTTGAAATTAACTTTGGAGCAGTGGAAGATTGTCACGTAATAAGTCTTTTACTTCAGATAGCCATGCACATCTGCACCATTTACCAGGAGAAGTGATGGCACCATTATACACTGTGGGACAATGGCAAGCCAATAGAGGGAGCCTGGTGATGGCAGTGTCCTGCGGCAAACCCTGGTCGGCTCATCATATTTATGCTACTTACCTAAGCATGGTTTCAGACCAGGTAAACCCCCTTCAGGACAGTGGTGTTCTCTGGTGGATGTGGCCTCTTTCAGGATAGTGTGGTCTGCCACAATATACAGTACATGTTGTTTTGGAAAGGTTGAATAGTTGTAGGTTTTGCTTTGGCCTCCGAATTCCCATGGTAATAATTACACAAGTTTGATCTTTGGTGGCTTCACCCTAAAACCTACTTGAAGGATCTGCTTAGACAATTTTGGTTCCAGACCTAACAGCACACCTCCAGGTTTTGGCAGTTGAGTGGCATTTTGCCAGTACCCACCACTTTTTAGGCAGGTGGTCCTAATTTTTTGAACAATAGGCATATATTTCAAATGCTTTTCTACTAGTTCCACTAGTGTTTAATCTGTCCATCCATGAATGCAGACTATTCCATATTAATAATAATACTAACTGCACCTTGCACTATGTGGCTAAAGGGAAAGCTCATTTACAAATAAAAATTCATTCATCAATTCCCCTTAATTTGTTCAAAACCTTTTTTTCTAAACACAAAATAAGTTGTAAACCTGTATCCGTAGTAGGAATAGCAACTACCAAGGAATTCAATGGTTACAGGTTTTCAACATTCTTCAAAATATCTTCTTTTGTGTTCAACAGAAAAAAGTCAAATGATAAGTAAACAATTTCATTTCTGGGTGAACTATCCCTCAAACAAAATATTTGTCATCATCTTTGTACGTTCCAGGAAAAAAAAAAAAGATTGAAACACTCATTTTGATTCCCCAAGTAAGTTTATATTAGAACAAGCTTAACCTGGTTTGTTTAACAAGTAGGAGTGAGGTCATGAACCGGGTAGATTTAACAGAGTGAAGCGAGCACAAACTCTCAGATCTTTCTGAATGTTATACCTTAAGCTTTAAATCTTTCTGACATTAGCAGAAACCGAACCATTTTAATAAACTGAACAAACTTAAATGTGTAAAACAGCAAGTCTTGGGTGTGTTTGTAAATCATAAACACTGGCACATGATTAAACACTAGGCTGCAGTACACTACCTGACAAAAGTCTTGTCGCCTATCCAAGTTAAAGGAACAATAAACAATAACTTCACTTCTAGTTGATCATTTGGTATCAGAGGTGGCTTTTATTACGCTTAATTTATCAAAATAAAATATGATCATGCCTTGACTTTTAATTATTTAATTAGGACAGTAAGGTCTGACCATGCTTAGACAAAATTCTTGTCACTTAACAGAAACAATGTACAGTTTAGAATATCAAGTCATGGTGCAGTGGAAAAAGAATGAACATTGTGTATGACTCCCATGAGTTTAGAGGACTGCATCTGTACATCTCTGCAATGACTCAAATCACATATTAATAAAGTCATCTAAAACGGAAAAGAAAGCGTTCTTGCAGGACTCCCAGAGTTCATCAAGATTCTTTGGATCCATCTTGAATGCCTTCTCCATCTTACACCAGACATGCTCAATAATGTTCATGCCTGGTGACTGGGCTGGCCAATCCTGGAGCTCTTGACCTTCTTTGCTTTCAGGAACTTTGATGTGGAGGCTGAAGTATGAGGAGCGCTATCCTGCTGAAGAATGTGCCCTCTCCTGTGGTTTGTAGTGTAATGGGCAGCACAAATGTCTGGATACCTACGCAGATCTCTCGCATTCCCCATACTGAATGTAACCCCAAACCATGATATTTTCTTCACCAAACTTGACTGATTTCTATAAAAATCTTGGGTCCATGCAGGTTCCAATAGGTCTTCTCCAGTATTTGTGATTATTGGGAGGCAGTTCAGCAGATGGTTCATCAGAAAAATCAACCTTCTGACACTTTTCCAAATGATCAACTAGAAGTCACGCTATTATTTGTTGCTCTTTCAACTGATTGACGACAAGGCTTTTGTCAGGTAGTGTAGAAACACTTCACATGGAGCTGGAAACAACTATTCATCAGAGTTGTGGAAGCTGCACTTTATTTGAAAAAAGAAAGAGTTCACGAATTGTTCTTACATCCTTTAAATACATAAACAAACAAACGACAAAACAAAAAAATGATGATCCGTGAGGACGACAGAAACGATTTCAGTAAAATTCAGATTTGATTGAATTGCTTTCATATTTCAAACCGTCCTCAGCCAAACCCCTGGACAAACTGCCTACGTGATATATGTCTATATACATAAAAGCACCGATCAACAGTGCTCAACTGCCTCCCAGTCAGCCGTTCTCCTATTTTACACAACAAATTTACAGTGATATCCATAACCCTGCCGGCGGTCATTAGCCAGAGGAGCGTCCAGCTCCCCCTTCGGGACGTTCAGAGGAGCAGGGTGGCTACCTTGAGCACGAGTCTGAAACATGAGGGCAACTCTTAACATTCAGATCAGGGGCAGCCATATCTAACGGTCCGAGTGAAAATGATGGCATGCCATGCATATAATGCAGAACACATCCCTTTCCCAAGTGCGAAACACTTCACAGTCACGGAGGAAGTGCTTTTCTACTCCAACAAACGTCTCATTGCAAAACCCCTAAGCACAGCATGGACTAAACAGTATAACAAACCATCCACTAATGATTACCCTCCCTCCCAAAAGCCTCAGGCTGCAAACGTTTCATCTACGGGAAGTTGTTCTAGACATAAAACTTAGAGAATAGTTAGTGCTCTATCATTTAGCTTACAGGTGTAGATTTCACATATCATCTATTTAAAAAGTTTAAACCTTCATTAAACAATCCAACATCCATGAATCCTGTTGAACCGTCGTTATTATTATTGATACTTTCCCCACCCCCCAGTAAACTCTCCGCTTTTTTTTTTTTTAGGCATTAATCATAAATAAATACAAACGACACGCAAGAAAGGTCTACTGGTGAATACAAGTAAAGTCCAAACTAAAAGGTCAAATGTAAAACAAAGTTACTGTTACTATTTCATAACACGTACTATATAAGATGCCGAGTTATACTCCGATTTAGGTCGACGTTCTCCTGAAGGTCGAAGGAAAACAAACAAACAAAAACAAAACGATCTAGCAGGAAATCAAACTATAGCTTCTCCGAACACATAAAGTCTCTCAATGCCCTTACCTAACTTAACGGATTATAAAAATGAAGGAGGAATCCCTTTATGGGCTGAACAGCAGCATCACTTGACTTCTTAAACGAATGACGAAATGATTGCGGTTTGCTCCCAGTCTCTCAACACACTTGCTTTACATCTTTGACGTGGAGTATGTTGTGGGATTGGTCCTCTGAAGAGCATCCCAGCACAGAGGACAGAGCTTAATGGTTTGACATCAGGGAGCAACTTCCTTTTCCGTTACATAAACTGCATCTGGAGAAAAAAGCAGATAAGAGGATCATTAGATAAAGGTGCTTTACGTGTTAATAAAAATGTTGTTCACTTCCATACTGTGAAAGATTGAGTGAAACTGTTTTTTGATAAACTGAAAAAGTCATATTTGACCAAAACCATTTTTACCATCCACTTTATGACAGATTCTCCAAATATAGCATATAAAAATATTTCTTAAATTTAAAATTTATCTTAACAAAACAAAAAAAAAAAAACGTACAAATCATTACAGATGAAAATAGCCGGGAATCGAACCTTAGTGCTGTGTCGACACTCTAACCACTAGGCTATTGACACCAATATCATTCTTATTATTAATGTTAAATGTTCTCCATTACTTTGTAGTTATTATAATATTTTTTTACATATAAATAAATTGCAAAAAAACATAAATAAGAAGACATTTTTCTGTATATGTAAAATATGTAAGGTCAATAATAAGTAAATTATTTTTCATTTATTCATTCATTTTCTTTTCGGCTTAGTTAATTTATTATTCCGGGATTGCCACAGCGGAGTGAACCACCAACTCATCCAGTACGTTTTTACGCAGCTGACAACCAGCCGCAACCCATCTCTGAGAAATGAATTATTTTTATTAAATTATTTTTATTATTATTATTT